AAAAAAAAAAAAAAAAAAAAAAACCAGTTCAGTGTTCAAATTCTCTATCTCCACTGCCATAGTGTCGGGATGTCGTCAGAGGGGAACAATGAATGAAAGTGTTCAATCCCAGCTCTAAGAGACAAAAAACTCCATTTACTTTCTCCCAGGTTGCTTCTTACATCTATGGGGACAGGGAGAAAGTAAAAGGACAGGTAGTAAGCACAGGGAACTCAATCAACAGGAAGAAGCTGAGTCCAGAGGAGTCTTTGTGACCAAGCATTTAAAACCACCCACCCCTGGGATGGCAGGAAGGGCAGAGGGCATGGAGGTCAGAGCAGCCTGGGCAAGGGAAAATGGGAGGTTTTTTCTAGAATCAATGCCTCTTCTCTTAGGGCACGGGCCAGCAAACTTTTTTGTAAAGGTTCAGAGAGCAAATATCTTAGGCCTTGAAGAATAGATGGTCTCTACCACAATTACTCAACTCTCTTGTTTGTAGCATAAAAGCAGCTCTAGATAATGTGTAAACGAATGGGTATAACTTGGTTCTAATAAAACTTTATTTAGAAAAACAGGCAGTGGGCTAGATTTAGATTTGTTAGTGAAGGCAGAGAAGGAGGGACAAACCAGTACGGTAGCCAGGAATACTGGAGATGTGACAATGAAGAAGAGGCACCTGTAAGGACCCCATCTTTGACCAGGCAGAAATAGGGGGAGACCTCCTGCTGAGCTCCAAGCACCAGGACTAGGTTTCTTGCCCCCTTACAGGACCCACCCGCCCCCGAACCAGACCATGCGTCCCCTCACCAGGTCCTGGTCAGGAGAATCGTACGGGGATTCCCACTTGATGACAGCGGAGGTTTTGCCTGTATGAACCACGTGCAGGTGACGGGGAGGAAGCCTGCTATCTGGGATCATCCTCACCACGACGTAGTCAGAGGACGGCCCCTGGTAGGGCGCCACCACCCGGACCTGAAACAAACACCATTCGAACTCATGCAGTTGTCACCAAACCACTGTTTCAACAAAATAGTGACATATGGATACAATTAAAATTCAATGCATACAAAAAGATGTAGAATAATTCCCCACCTACCCCAGATCTCTAATCCGTTTTCCCAGAGGTAGTACTAGTAGTGATTTTATGTGCTTCCTTCCAGAAATGTCCTACACAAATATAAGCCCATATACGGGTACGTGTGTACAGATATGTACTTATATGTGTGTGTACTTATGCATGCATGTATATGTGTAGCCTACTGTTCTTAATTTTTTTTACACAAATGCAAAAACATTACACATATTATTATGCTCTTCGCTTCTTTTACTTAATAACACAGCATGGAGATTTTTCCAAATCAGTACATTTGGAGTTTGTTGTATTTGTGTTGGATGGTTGCACTATACTCCATCACAAAGATAAGCAACAACCCTTTTAACCAGCCTTCTCTTGATAGACATTTGTTCCAAATCTTTTGTTTTCACAAGCAACAGTATACCAAACATGTTTCTCTAAATATCTTGTCACACATGTAAAAGCATGTAAGCTAAATTCCTAGAAGTGGAATCTGACAAAAGTTTTTATTTATTCCTGTGACCCATTCTCCAAGTTCTCAATCCTGCACAAGGGAGCTGTAGTTGGCGAAGTGGCCGTTCATTCTGCGTTTCAAGTAAAAACCTGATGCTTGGGAAAAAGAACCATCCTCCCGTGTGTGTCTCTCTCACACCCCCTCTCTCTCGCACAAATACATGCACAGGCGCACACGCATCGCACGCGGATCCTGGAATCCACATCTCCAGCTCCCCAGGTCCTGGGTCTGAGCCAGGAGGCCAGCAATTAAGACATCCTCAAAAAAAAAAAAACATTCTCCTGTACTCCTGGCACAGGAAACTTACCAGAAACAAATACTGCTCATCCCCACTGACAAGGACTGTTTTGTTGTGCTGTGATGTAGTCAAGCTCTTGGGGTTGCGATACAGGTCAAGAAAGGATGTGGCATAGAAGATGCCGTAAACCTGGTAAAAGGAGAGAACAGAAAAGGACACCAGTTCAGTGGCCAGTGACCTCACTCTCCTGAAAGCCCTAATTTAAGACCCGGGGAACCACTTCAAATGAGCTCACAAAGAATTCTTCATTCAACATCTATTTCATCAGCATTTACAGAGAAGGCACCCTGGGCCAGGCAGTGGCTTCCCACCTACAAAGATAAATACGGTGCAGACTCTCCTCAGAGCTTGCTTTTTTGAGGAGAGCCAGGCAGAGAGGAAAAACAGAATTATCAATAACAAGATGCAAATGTGGAAGGTTAGATGCTATACTAGAAGACTGCATAATAAACTGGGGAAAAGAGGGGTTGACCAAGGTGCGAAGGGGATAGCAAGTGTGCAAGCTCGTGGAGGGGGCACGGGGAGGGAGGGCGGGCACTGCTGGCTGCCTAGGACATTCCCATCCTCCCCTCGTCCCTCAGCAGAATCCTGGTTCTTAGTGAGAACTGCTACCTGGAAACATGCCTACACCCACACTTCCCTCCAAGCGGCAGAGGCCACGTGACAGGGCTGGTCAACAAGATGTCAGCAGATGTTCCAGGCAGGACCTCGGTGAGGACACATTGAAATGCAGGGAGCAGTGCCCTTCCTCTACCCTCCCGCTGCCTGGAATACGCAGGGTAATGTGGTCCAGGAGGCCCTCTGGACTGCAAGGTGATGCCACAGGCTGGAGGTGGCAGGGCCTGGGGCCCAGATCAAACTGTGCTGCAGCTGTAGAGCTCCCAGATGGCTGAACTCCAAACTCTGACCGACTTGTAATTAGGAGGGAAATAAACTGTTGAAAGCCACAGTTACTCTCCATTCCTGTTCTATGCACCCATTCTTAACCCTAATTGGTACACGTGGAGTTTAAAGCAGGAGGTGGGAGTCTGATGGCCTCATAGAGGGGAAAGTGGAAGCTGAGAGCATGTTTCTAATGGGGGAAGCATGAGGAAGCTTCCTTTGTAAGGTAGAAACAAAGGGCATTTTCTCCAAGAGCATATGAGCAGGCAAGAAAGGGGACTTGAAAACCGTACAAGTTTGGAGAAGCTGTGGGGATGAAGGGAGCCCATCAGGGACATGCAAAAGGACTTGTGTGTCTCAGATGAGCAAACGGGAATGGAACAGGAATAGGGGAAGGAGAGAGCTCAGATGGGATGGCAGAGGGGGACCCAGGGCGCAGGCAGGCCTGACCCCCAGAGAGAACAGGCCCGTGGCCACCATGGGGTGGAGGCTTCAACCAGGAGCCAGGAAAGGGGTCCCTGGAGCCACGGAGCCAGGGTGTAAGAAGGCCCCACGCAGACAGTGATGGGGGCAGCTCTTGCGGTGCTGACGGCAGCCCTGAGTGAGACCCCAGCGTCCGCAGTGAGATGAAGACGGGCGGAAGCTGAGAGCTTCGTCCAGAGGACTCCACCAGCCCCTGACCCTCGGAAGGCTACCATGAGTGTAAGGGGTCTCTCAGCCAGGAGGAGGCCGGGCTAGGCTCCTTCTCCAAGTTCACTGTGGTGAGACACTAAAAACAAGTCACGCGCCAATGTTCTGTACACGATGCCCCACTCTGTGCAGACAGCTGGGGGTGACAGGTGGGCAGGCTCTGAGTTGGGTACTTAAACAGAGATAAAGGCCCCTCTGCGATAACGGTCTACTTCCAGGTAAGATGGAGACCGGGGGTGGCTCTAGGCATTCTCATCTCTGTCCCTGCCCCAGAGTCAGGTTCTGGAGCAACAGAAGAGCCTGGGCTGTTAAATTAGCTGGACCTGAGCTCTAACTCAGTCTGTTACTTACTAACCCTCGACTTTGGCCAGTTACTTCACCCCCTCTGAGCCATGGTCTCCTCTCTGGTAGAGAAGGAACATTTACCTCACAGAGCTGATGAGAGGATTAAGTGCGAGACCACGGATGAAGGGTGGGCATCGTGCCTGGCACACAGTGGGTGCTCAGTTAACTCCTACCTCTCCCTCCTTCTTCACGGCTGATCTCACAGACAATTACTTGCAAACCTTGGTTCTTTCCCCACGAACCAGTCCTGCCCCCGATGCACACTGGGGATGCCCTCAGAAGACAAGACTCATGCCAATTCCTCCTCACCAGCCACTGAGGATTCACTAAGGCTCAATTACAGATTTAGTTCCATATGCTTTTCCATTTGGAAAACCCAGAAAACAATCCTTCCCTTCAAGAACTTACAAACTACTCAGGGAGATGAGAGTGGACAGAAGATATCAAATCGGATACGTAGTATCTAATGAAACATTATGCTGCGTGGCATCAACTCTAAAGATTTAGGAGTTGGTAAGGGAAAGAGATCCAGTAGAAGAGCTAGGATTTGACTACACAGCAGCAGGAGCAGGAAGGATTCCAGGGAAGAGAGAGCAGACGCCCTGGTGCAGAGGCAGGAGGGGCATGATAAGAGGCTTGCGAAAGTGCAAAGGAGGGTGCACACTGTGGAAGGCGGGAAATCAAAACCAGGCTCAAAAAGAAGCGCAGGGCTTCCGTGGTGGCGCAGTGGTTGAGAGTCCACCTGCCGATGCAGGGGACACGGGTTCGTGCCCCGGTCCACGAAGATCCCACATGCCGCGGAGCGGCTGGGCCCGTGAGCCATGGCCGCTGAGCCTGCGCGTCCGGAGCCTGTGCTCCGCAACGGGAGAGGCCACAACAGTGAGAGGCCCGCGTACCGCGAAAGAAAAAAAAAAAAAAAGAAGAAGCGCAGATCTAATTCCAGTGAGTCAAAATGCATACATGAAAACAAAAGGCCTATATACAAGTAGAGCCAGCATCCTGGAATGAACTGGGGTGGGGCATGTTTTGGGGGAACAGAGAAAGCAACCTGTGGGCGGGGGATCCCATAGGTGAGGAGGGGCTAGAGGAGCCTGAGGCAGGGTCCTCAGGCGCATACTCATTGTCCTGCAGGCGACTTCTCACCCATCCCTAGGTGAGACTCCCAGCTCGGGAATGTGCCCCCTCCTCAAACTAGGTCTATTCAGCAAACAGCAGGGGGCTCTTTGTCTTGGATGCCAGGCCAGGATGCAGAAAGGGAGGCTGAGGCAGGATGTCAGGTGCCTCTAGAAGGTAATCCAGAACTGACTACAAGGGTAGCTTGTGTTTGGGGTGAGAAGAAAAACAACAGCAACAGAGGGGGAAGCCCTGGGGGTGTCTTGTGGCCTAGTGCCAGGCGACAGTCCATCCGTGCTCTGCAAGGGTCATCCTGGCTGACTTACCACATTCCTGGGGCCGGTCCAGGTGCATTCCACCGCCGTCTGATTGACGGCCTTGGCTTTGAGGCTCGGGGCGGGTGGGCGGACTCCTCTGGTCGTGACATGCTCAAATGCCAGAGGACTGTCCCCCAAGTCAGTCTTGGCCCAGGCAGAAATCTCGTAGGTTGTATGAGCTGTCAGGTTGCCCACTGGGGAAACAGGGACAAAGGGCTGGGGGCAGCAGTCAGGAATACATATCTTTATATGCACACCCTATTTTTTTTAATGTCATCTCTCCATTTAAGTGAGCCCCACATGCTGTAGAATTTTTATTACTTTACGGATTCACTCGGCGTGATTTATTAATGACTACTGCAAGCAACACACTGCATGGGCATGGGAAAATCCCCTTTAAAGCTGCCTATCTGGGGATATAAATTGGTACGACCCTCCTGGAGAGCCATTTGGCCTTGTTGAGTCTTGACATCCTTCATAACCTTCAGTGCAGTTAAATGAGAGGGATCCCAAAATTTGTGCAGCCAGGATGTCTGTCACAGCGTTTGTTATGGCAGAAAAAAGTATAATCATCTGACTGCCTGGCAACAAGGCAATAGCTAAATAATGTGCGTCCATGAGCTTCACGTGCATTCCATGAACTATTACGCGGCCACTAAAGGTTGTTTCCAAGAATATATAATGAAACTAGAAAATTCTGTTATTTACATTCAGTGAAGAAGGCAGGATATAAAATTCCATATAGTATTATTCAAATTTTATTTAAGAAGATACAAAGAAATCAATGAGGAGGAAAAGTATTAACTTAGGAACCACCCAAAATGTAAAAGTGGTTTCCCTGGGAAGTGAAATGATAGGAAATTAAAAATTTGATTGTACCTTTTTTGTTTTCTAAATTTTCTGTAATAAACATGTGCCCCCTTTCTAATTAGGGGAAATGTTATTAAAAACTAAGAGAGCAGTGAACAAAAAGGAGGGTGTGCTAAGAGGACAGCCTTTGGAAACGGAAGGACTTGGGTTCAAGGCCCAACTCTACCCTTCGTACTTGTACAAGCAAGAATGAAGTATTCAAACTCTCCAAGTTCATTTCCTTGTTGGTAAGATGGAGGACAGTGAGAGCACTTATACCAGCTGGCTGTTGCAGGGAACAAAAAAAGAAAATTTCTCTGAAGTGCTCAGCATGACGCCTGGCATGGAGCAAGCCCTTCGTGTGTTTCAGGCAAAGGCTGGTAAGACTTTTGCTTCCGACTCTGCCAATTTCTACTGGTGTAACGTTGAGGCGATGAGACCACAGCCTTTGGAATTAGAGAGGCGTGGATTCCCATCGTGGCTCTGCCACCTTCTGAGGGAATCACTCAGTCCCTGAACCTTGTTTTCTCGTCCATAAAATGAGTAGATCCCACCACACTGTTCTGGAGGTGTTCTGTAAAACACCACACACAGAGTGCCTGGGTAAATGCCTGTATACAGTCAGTGCTCAATGTTAGCTATACTCCTGCACAGCCTCCTTAGGCAGCCTTCGGTTCCCTCCCGCCAAAAAAATATACTGCATATAACAGAACGCCTGCTAGGATTGAAAGTACTTTGCAAACAGAGTATAAGGGAAGAGTAGAAGCTCCCATGTCCTCTTCAACATTCACAAGCAGCCTTGGCCAATGAAGGTTTTGTCTTAGAAATAAATTAAAATCCTTCCTTTAGTCCATCTTCAGATATGAGGATTTTAATTGAGACTCACTATCTGTACAGATACAAGAGGAACTGGACCCTCTTCCTTCCTCGTCTCCTTGCTTCCTTCGCTCAGTCTGTTGGTCCATTCGTTCAACAAATGTTTACTGAACGCCAATTATGCAGCAGGCCCTGCGCTACCTTGTATCAGCAAAGAAGGAGCAAACAAGGGCAGTAAAAAGAGAGACAGGTAACTAAACCCAGGAACTCTCTCTTTTGGGAGGCAAAAAGCATCTGTAGAAGGTTAACCTGGCTTCTTTCCAGCGTTTCCTCCTTTTTAAGCCTCCAACTTCCATGAAGAGACAACAGGTTAGAAGGGGATTTGGGGAACCACCCAATGGATCCCTCACCTGGACTCAGGAGTCACTGACAGCATCCTCAATGGATAACACCTGCCCACTCAGAACGGCTGCAGAGAAGACCCCCCACCTGTCCCGGTGCCCCACACAAGCTCTAATGCCAGGAAAGCATCGGTCTAGCCTTCCTCCTTACACACCGACCAGCTCCAGGGCGCTACCTTTGTGTGACAATATGCTTCCTCGGAAGTTCATCGTTCTCTTCTCCTGTCTGTGGGTGTCGAACGCCCAGAAGAGGTTCACCACATAGCCATTCACCTGCCAAGGAGCAAGAGCCATGTTACATGAACAGTCCACACTCATAGAGCTCACCAGACAGTAAAGGAAGATCTTTTCTGTTGTTCCTCGGGTATCTATCTCCCTTCTTACAATGGACGGGCTAGTCCTTTGGATTCTTAAACCAGTTCCATTTGTGCTATCATTGACTACTTATACTCCCTCCTACTTCTAAAAACAAATGTGAGACCATTCATAATACAACATATAGATTCAATGACACAAAAAACTTAATAAATAATAAAAGGACAAGAACCAATTTAAAAAGGCAGAAAGAAGGGAATTCCCTGGCGGTCCACTGGTTAGGACTCTGAGCTCTCACTGCCGAGGGCCCGGGTTCAATCCCTGGTCAGGGAACTAAGATCCTATAAGCCGCGCGGCACAGCCCAGGAAAAAAAAAAAAAAAGGCAGAAAGGCTAAAAATTGAAAAGGTAATTAGATTACGGTAACTAAGGATCAGTCTTAGCTCAGGTGGTCCTTGCAGTCAAGGCCGAGAGGTCCATACAAAGGGGGCTTGCTTAGATCTCTTTTGTCTAATGGGAGCAAACACATCCATGGGTCAGGAAAGACTACCTTTTCCAAGTTCTGAGCTCACAGAAGGATTTGATGTAAAGGTCTTTAAAAATATTGGCCAATGCACCAAATTAAAACGTTTTCAAGAGCAAAGACTATAGAGACAAGGTCTACACAAGGTCATTTCTGGCATCAGCTGTCTCTGAAGCCAAGGGCATGACACCAAACTGTAGTTCAGTCAATGACACAGGCTGTTGCTCCCACCACAGCTTCACAGACAGGGAGGGATGTGAGGGGAGACAGACAAGAAAGAACCCCATGAAAGGTGTGTGGCAACTTGAGAAACCAAAGGGACACAGATAATGATGGTGAAGTTGGTCAAGCAGATGGACCAAGCAGAGGGGAGGAAGGTGCTAGAAGGGGAGAATAGTAGGTGGATCTAAGTGGATATGCTTCCGAGGTATTTGACTCTCTCCTAACACTCACTCTTGGGAACCTCTGCATTAGTGCTCGGCACCAGGAAATCCAATAAAGCTGAAAATTACAGGGCATACATATTCTGTTAACACCAACTCTTTATTTGCACTGTAGCTGTGAACCATTTAATTATACGGTTAAAAAAAAAAAAAAGGCACCAGGCTGAGGCAGAATCATTACACGTGAAGACTCAAGCTGTTCTTCGTAGGGGGAGGAACCAACCTAGGTGTGGTATTTTAGCTTTGCTGGGTCAAGTCATTCATTTTTCTTAATCTTCCCGTCCTCTGCCATATCAGTTCCCATGCAAAGTAAAGCCCCGCCCAACCGCTGGTTTGAAATTTCCACGTTACCTTGATGTCAGTGTCCACGGACAGGGTAAAGCTTAGAGAATTTTCACCATAGCTGTCAATGTGGATGTCTGGGGGTGGGATCACTGAGAACAAAAGAGGGATTCAAAAAGAGAAACCAGGTGATGAAAAGGGAAGAAGGCAGAACTTAACAGTTTTCAACTCAAGAGACAAAGCAATCTTTCAGTCGGGGAAGAAAGGGCATTTCTTTGGTGGTTTCTACTCTTCCCTTTTACCACTGTTGTCCTGAAGCTGAGGTTAGGTCCACAGTTACCTGGTGAACACATAACTACCTCGGCTCAGTCAGCTATCCCGGCAATGAGGTCGAGCAGAAAAGTTCCATTATGTAAATGTCCCTCATTAACCCAGCTTCAGCCTGGTTCTGAAAGGCACAGGGATCACACTGAGAGCCACCTGTGTTGGCACCAACAAATTCCCAGAGGGCTCAAGTCCTTTTCGAAGGTTGACGGCAAGCTAAATCCTAAGTCCTAACTTGTAAATGCGCGTGTGGCAAAACGGGAAGGATCTGGGCTCTGGAGTCTCACACACTGGAGTTCAAATTCCTGTAGAGACACAGCACCGTGTGACCTGGGGCAAGTTACCTGTCCTCGTGAAGCCTGGAGATGCCCTCTGTGCTTCTCAGAGGTGGGAAAATTCACTAAAATAATGCATGTCAAGGGCCTGGCACCCAACTACAGTTCCCTTTCTCTCCCGTTCCCACGACAGATTAAAGAGCTGATGAGCCACTGGCATTCCCAAAAAGATCGGAGCTCGAGCTGGGAGCTGAGGGCACAAGGAGAGGGCAGCAGAGAGAAAAGACCCCTCTTGGCTCAAGTGCCGAGCATGATGCCGGTCACTGTGAAGGTCTACCCACCAGAAACCTGACAGTGTGCGGCCAAGCGTAGCCCAGGAGCGCTGGATGCAGTCAGCATCGTCGGAAGATAAGATTTAAATGGCCGCTGGCGTATTAGACTCTCAGTACATATGCCTCTTATCCTGGCAAAGCAAGAGGGACTCAAAGGAGTGCCTCAGACTTTGTGGCAAAGAGAGGTACCAAAATCTGCAGGAGTCTCTCCAGATGATCAATGAAAGTGGGCTCGAGGAAAACACGGCAACCGGAAGAAGAAAGGATATTAGGAGTTTCAGGCAGCCAGCTCAGAGCAAAATAGTTGGGGTGCTGCTGTAAAGCTGACCTGGGTTATGATCGTGGTGGCTGGGGACAGATCACGATCCTCTCCAGATCCCAGTTCCCTCAGCTACAAAATGAGCATAAGAATACTCACAGGGTTGATAAGGATTAAGAGAGATCAGTTCACGTAAAACAACCCGCACGGTGCTCAAAAAAAGGTGGCTTTTCTCACTGCCGTTATAATTAATCCACTGCGTTCACTAATGAAGGTGGTGATTCTGGGTGACGCCACCACTGTTTTGTACCCCGTCTTCTTACCTTATTAGGACACGAGGTCACAGATACATCACAACTCACTTTTTGACTTGGCACACAGTTGCCTAACACATGCCCTAACCAACACACATATGAGGAGTTGGGGTTCATCCTCAAAATCATATTAAGGAAGTTAAAGAGAAGCAACTCCCCACTGAGATTTTCAAATGCAGGTGTGACTTACGATGAGGAATTCAAGGTACTACCTGTTCTTTTGATGACCTTCCAATGTCCCTCCTTTTCAGTATGTATGGTCAGTCTGTTCTGACTGACCTTGGAGAGGAAAATAATACCACAATCAAAACTCTCGGGGAGTGTGAACTCGGTACACTTTTTCCAATACCCACACACTCCCTGCTCCACAGACTGGCTGGCTTCACTAAGTTTAGCTGCCCCTGTCCTGATCTCAATGACACCATATTTCACAGGCGACCAGACAGTGACTCTCCATGACCCAGAGCCTATTTCTCACAGGCTCAGATTAAAGTGTAATCCCCCAAGCACATTCCAGGCGACACTTCTGGCTTTTAACACCCGCCAATCCAAAGACGAAAGCCCCAAGCGCCAAAGCTACAATCAGGAAGACGAGCTGGACTGTCTCCCATAGAGTGCCAGAGCCTTCGTTTCACTTGCTTCAATTCACTCACTCATCCACTATTTCATCGGCTCCTATCCGACACTACCCTCGAGGCACATGTGCAAGGCAAGGAGCCCCTCCCGGCAAGCAGGTGGTACAGTGGTTCAGGGCACAGGCTCTGGACTCAGGAGATCAGGTTCCAATCCCAGCTCTGTCACTTGACTGACTGCATGCAAGAGACATAACCTTTCCAGTCCCTTATCTGTTCTTATAGTTGTTCTGAGGGTTCAACGAGATGAGCTGGTGTATGCAGAGCAGGTCCGTGGCAAGTCGTAAGCTATGACTCCGATCAGCTCGAGCGCTAGAAAACTGCCACCTAAGCATCGTCGGTCGGTGCCCCTGGGGCAGTAACAAGTGTCAGCACGGCACTCACATGGACAAAATCATCTTTATCTCGGCTGGGAAGGAAGGACTCCTTCTATTTTTGATACTGTCCCTGAGAACAAGGGCATGAAGGCCTCTGGAAATCCCTTTGTATGTTTTTATTATAACAAATGCTCAGTTCTAGAAGGAGGAATACCTTCAACAGTTGCCCCCAAAGACTTCGTGTGTAAAGCACTATGGAGACGCCCACAAAAGTGAGTGTATCGGGGAGAGGGAGGCTGTGTGAAGTTTCCTGATCTCTGCTTCTTCATTTTCCAGTCACACTGAAAGTTATTTCCAAAGGGTTATTCTACCTTCTCGAAATCTGCAGATGCTGGAAGCACTTACCTTTTCCTTTTATGGTGGTAATGGATTTAGAATCGCTCCAGTTTCCTATTCCCCGACTGGTCACTGCAGCCACCTTTCAAATCAGAGTGCAAATTAGTATGAAATACAGGCAACATACCACACGGTAAGAATCCCGAGTGAGCGAAATTGGTGAGGCTTTGGCTATAAGGGTGGAAGAAATTATACACAGAGGGATTCAGGATAGACAGAGGCCCCAGCAACTGAAATAAGACAGGGAAAGAGACAACGGGAGGGAACCTGGGTAAAGGGAATTGTGAGAGCACTGAAATTATGAGGGAGTCTGTGTATACACTTAATGGTCTCAAAACATGTTTTGCACAAAATCTCTTTTCTACTGAAGATGTTGATAATATATTTCATAAGAACCCCACAGTATCATTTTATAAATGCTACTTATCATAGCTCTGCATCTCCCTGCAGCTAAAAATAAGCAGAAAAGAGGTGGGTGCAAAACTAATTGGAGCTAAAGCACTAGCAGAATATCTGGGTTAAAAGCAGGTAAAGCTGCATTACCATTGGTTGTTGGTTATCTGAGCAAAGTCTGATTTCAAGTTCTCTGTGGCCTTGGTTTACAAGACTGAAAGAAATGACAAGCTTCCAGAGCAACAGGTTGGGTGTTGAGCACACCACGAGTAAGCATCTCACAAAGGTAGGCACGGAGTTCTCGTGAAAGGCCAACCAGCTCCCCATGTTCCAAGACCACCTGGACGGCTAAAACGCGTGTGAACACTCACTCTGACAGTGTACTGAGCGTTGACCAGTAGGTTCCTTATTTCTGTCAAGTTGCTAAGAGCTCTCTGGGAGGCCCACATCTTGGAACCACTCCTGCTGTACTCTACCTGAAGTGAGGAGAAAAAAAAATACTATGGACAGGTAACCAAAGGTCTGGGCATCCCGACATCTTGCAAGGAGGCAGGCGGAGAGAGGGGAAGGTGAGATGCAAAACGTTCCAGAGGATGGATGATAATTTACAAGGCGACAGCAAACCACGTCCTTGTCACACAGAACATGCTTTTGCTCTCCCAGCCCCGGCAATCTCCTGCTGTCACCCGCGCACAGCCCGCTGCCAGAGGGACTTACGATGTACTCCCGAATGAGGCCGTGGCTGTGGGTGGGAGGGGCCCAGCGGCCCACGATCACTCCTTCCACTTCCCTGTGGAGCGACAGCTGGAGGTTCTGAGGGGCGTCTGGCACTGGAAAAGAGGCAACTCAGGGTTAAAATCCATCTGCATACTCATCAACTGGAGGAATTTCCCTGAGCTTAAAACTCCGACGAGAAAGAATCCAGAGCTGGCAGTGGGACCTATCTGCTAGAAAGCGCTGTCAGCTGACAGAACACCTTTCCTCTCTTCCGGAATGCAAGGCCTGCTTGCCCTCATCACACATCTAATGACTGCATGTATCAGACCACGGCTCAGCGAGTCTGATGCAGGCCGGGGGCTCACAAGGGCTGCAGGATAGAATCACGTGGGCGGGCTAAGTCACCACTGGCCCTGGGCTTTGATGCTGAGATCTTAATTGTCAAGGACGGCATCTGCTGTCCTGAACTCTCGTACAACCAGAGAACCACTGGTGTGGCTACAAAGAAATAAAGCTTACTTTCTCTCTTTCTTTTTGGTCACGCCGCGCAGCGTACAGTATCTTAGTTCCCCGACCAGAGAGCAAACCCATGATCCCTGCAGTGGCAGCCCGGGGTCTTAACCACTGGACCGCCAGGGAAGTCCCAAGCGTTACTTTCTAATAGCACAGAACTTCTAGATTCAAATGAAGGGACCCCCTTCAAAGTAGGTTCCTTAATAACTTCACTGCTGGCATTTCTGAGACCTTTCGGGATCTCCCCTTTTGTGACTGCCTTCAGAGGCCAATTAGAAACCACACAGAAACCAGTTACAGTGCTTTCCAGTCAAACTTCATTTTGACTGCACAGTAGTTATTCATGTTGATAATCTGCCGAAGATGAATATTAAGGGTTGAACTGTATCACCTCCAACCCCGAATTCAGGTGTGGAAGTCTTAACCCCCAGTACCGCAGAATGTGTATTTGGAAATAAGGTCTTAAAAAAAGTCATTAAGTTAAAATGAGGTCATTGCCCCTTACCCAATATGACTGGTGTCCCTATAAGAAGAGGAAATTAGGACACAGACACGCACAGAGGGCAAACCACGTGAAGACGGCCAAGGAGGCCTCAGAATGAAACCAACCCTTGACCTTGGACTTCCAGCCTCCAGAACTGGAAGAAAATAAATGCCTGTGGTTTAAGCCACCCTATCTGGGGTACCTCGTTATGGCAGCCTCAGCAAGTGAATACAGTGAATGTTCATCAACAAGCCATGGCCTGCAAGCCCTTGGAGGGCAGGAACTGTGCCTTATTCATCTGATTCTCCAGTGTCTAACCTAATTCCTGAGCAGTAGTAGGGACTCAGCTACCACCTGTGGAAAGAAGATCGACGAATGGGATATTTCAAAAATGGTTCCACTTAGAGTTTAGCTAAGCTAGCCCATGGTATTGCTGTCTCAGCACCCATTTTATTTAGACAAATAGGCTAAGGGGGCCTTAAATTGACACTAGCCCCCAAGCAAGCCCTGGATCACAGCCCAAAGAGTCACAAGCAAATGCAAATCCCTAACGTGACTTCCCCAAGGGCCCTTATGATAAAGTCTCCCCACCTCCCAGGGCCTTCTCCCTTGTGCTCCTTAGGTAAGACTCCCAAGAAGTTTACCAAAACCCCCCTTTTTTGGTGTGAATTGGCCAAACCAGCCCTAGCCCAGCAACTCCACAGCACTCCACCCACAAATCCTAAAAAAGGCGTGTGCCCCAGGTCCCGCTGCTCTCTGCCTGCACCCTGCCTTGACCTCCTGCGTGGCCCCTTGAGGTACGCGTATACCGCCTTCAGAACCTGGGCGTGATAAACTTCTCTATTTCACTTTCCCTGGTGGGCTTCTGCTGACTCTCTGGCACTCTCTCTGCTCTACTGAACAAATGTTATTCTAACAAAGTCATAACTCATAGATTCTTTTTTGTGTGTTTTGTTCAGCACTTCCTTAATTTCTTTTTTCTTTTTTTGAATTGAAGTATAGTTAATTTACAACGTTGTTTTAGTTTCAGGTGCACCGCAAAGTGATTCAGTTTATATATATTCTTTTTCAGATTCTTTTCCACTGTATATTGAGTATAGTTCCCTGTGCCATACAGTAGGTCCTTGCTGTTTATCTATTTTATATCTAGTAGTGTGTATCTGTTAATTCCAACCTCCTAATTTACCCCTCCCCCCAATTTCCCTTTGGTAACATGTTTGTTTTCTATGTCTGTGAGTCTATTTCTGTTTTGTAAATAAGTTTGTTTGTATCACTTTTCTAGATTCCATATATAAGTGATAGCATATGATATGTGTCTTTCTCTTTCTGACTTACTTCACTTAGTAAGCACTTCCTTACACTCTGGCACTACCAGATGCTCCAGGCTTATCTTACAGATCTCCTGCCCCAGGCCTGGATTTGGCCATTTCTTCAAAGAGCCCTGTGTCCTCTTATTGAAGAAGGCATTAGAAACCTAAATCTGAATGATAAAGTTTTTCTGGGCCTTCTCAGTTGACAAAGCAGAAAAAATATGCGTGTGTACTAACCTGTGCACATACACAGATCTAGAAATATTTTACGTGTAACCATCTACACGCACGTTAAGATAAACATGAGTTCATATTAACATCTCCAAATGTAAACATGGTTCTGATGGCAACTGCAAATGAAAAGTTCACAAAACCTGGGGAGCAGAGATCACAGGAATCAGCACAGTCACCCAATGTCAACTACTGTGAAGGGGGAAGAACTAGGGAACTCTCTATGACCCAAGGGTTTTGGTAAATTTCCTTAAAATGAACCCACAATACTTCTGACGAGTCTCATACATTAACAATGATGATCTCCTAAGTACCAAATACTGGGAAATACCTAGAGACGGAAGGTAGAGGTAGAAAGAGGGCAATGGTGGGCAGAAAAACATTATGTGTGGTGATCATTTTGTAATTACAGAAATATCAAATCGCTATGTCATACACCTGCAACTAACACGGTGTTGTAGGTCAATTATACTTCAATTAAAAAAATCGTTTTAAGACATTGAAAACAAACGTATGATTACCAAAGAGGAGAGGGGGAGAGGGATAAATTAGGAATTTGGGATTAACAGATACACACTACAATATATAAAATAAATAAACAACAAGGACCTACTGCACAGCACAGGGAACTATATTCAATATCTTGTAATAACCTATAATGGAAAAGACTCTGAAAAAGAATACATATATATATGTGTATAACCGAATCACTTTGCTGTACACCTAAAACAATGTAAATCAACTATACTTCAATAAAAAGAATTGTATTGAAAAAAAAAAGTGACATAGTAAGAACAACTCAGCCAGGACCATAAAACTTAGCCACATAGGAAGCACAAGTACTTTTGTTTCCATGCTCCTGAGCATCCTGGGAAACTCTCTGAAAATCCCACATAAGGTCCTGTCCCTGCCATAAAAATAAGCTGCAGCACTTACATCCTTCTGGAGTCCTCAGGGTCACGAAGTCATTGGTGCTGTGCACCTTGCTCAGACACTGCACCTGGACTTTGACCTGATACGTGGTGTCTGGCTTCAAGACTTTCAATATTGTGTTCGTTTTATTGCTGTGGGTTTCCAGAGTCTTCCATATGCTCTCTCCAACCACCCTGGCCAAGAGAACAAAGATAGCATCACATCAAAGCCGCATGGGGCGGCTGAGATGTCTGAATACGTCAAAAAAGAGCTGCTCTGTGCGCACACAGAGTTTATGGAACATCCAGTGGCAAAAGAAACATCATTTTCTCCCATGGCAAAGATGGGACCCACCTGTAGTAGACGTTATACACACAAGAAGCAGAGGGCATTTTCTTGGGCCGCATCCAGGTCAAAGTTACATCCCCAGAGAAGTCAGCTGTCCACTGAAGATTCTGTATTTTGTATACATTTAATTCCTCTAGAGAGAGCAAGGGGAAAAAAGGGAAATTGGTATCTTAGAAATCTTGGATTTCAAAGGACCCAAGAGGTTCCTTGGTTTCAGGCAGACCTACTGTGATGTGGTCAGGCCACCATCATTATCTTAAGACACCCCAGAAAAAAAAGAGTTCAGACCTTCCTATATAACCTTTCCCAAGGTCTCCTAAATTTCCAAGCATGGCATTTCTCCTTGCATTTCACCTCCTTGTCTGCACTGATTTAAGCCTGATTCTCAACAGAGAATGCTACAAATCCAAAGACAATGTCATGGCAGGATCCATTACTGCTACAGACTGAAATGTTTGTGTCCCCCAAAATCCATATGCTGAAACCTCATCCCCCATGTGATGGTATTGGGGGGTGGGGCCCTTGGGAGATGATTAGGTCATAAGGATGGAGTCCTTGAAAATGAGATTAGTGTCCTTGTAAAAGAGGCCCGAGAGAGCTCCCTCACACCTTCCACCGTGGGAGGACACAGAAAAGACAGGCTGTCTGTGGACCAGGAAGTGGGCCCTCACCAGACCACCGAATCTGCTGCTGCTTCAATCTCGGACTTGCTAGCCTCCAGAACTGTGAGAAATGAGTTTCTGTTGCTTCTAAGCCACTCAGTCGGTAGTACGGTTATAGCAGCCCCCACATGATTGCTAAATGCATGCCAGACAGAAGGATGGAGTTCACCCCACCACAAAGCCTGACACTCTGTGGGAGCAACAATGCCTCAACACGAGGGATGTCCTTCCAAAGCCAATCTAATATACTCCAATATAAAATAAAAATTAAAAAAACTCCTATGAAAGATCAAGTTAAATTGTTTTATTTGTATAACAGAATGCACTACTGTAATTAAGCAAATCATAATTCTAAGACACTACCTAATTTTTCATAAGTAGTATCTTTTGATTAAAATTATCATTATTTAAACTCAAAAACACCCCATTCTAAGATGTAACTATTATATATAGGATGAATAAACGACAAGGTCCTACTGTATAGCGCAGGGAACTATATTCAATATCTTGTGATAAAGCATAATGGAAAAGAATATTTAAAAATAAATAAATAAAAGGATCCAAGTACCAATACAAGGACTAAAGCAAAAGAAAATAGAACAAAAAACCAAAAACACCCAGTCTAAGACCAACATTTCCCTGAGAGGGGCGAGGTGGGCTGGAGGCTGCACCAGAGGCGGGACTGGGCCTCGCCTCACCTGCAGCTCCAACAGTGAGCAAGGAGCTTTGCATTTTCAGACTGAGGAAGAGCTCAAGAGGGTTCAACCTCAGGGCCTACCCAGCAGGGCCGAGGGTGAGCCCGGGGTCCTGGGGGGCCACACTCACCGCTGCAGGCGTGCTCGTCGCTCTCGTCCGAGCAGTCCAGGAAGCCGTCGCAGCGCTCGGAGAGCACGATGCAGGCCTCGCCGTCCTCGCACCGGAACTCCTGGCCCGTGCAGGTCAGGGTGCTGCGCGTGGCTGCAACACACGAGGGGCCACGGTCACCAAAGGTTTCTCGTGTTCGGGAAAAGGGAACTCAACAGCTTCTGCTTCAAAAGACCCTTGGGATGGGGGTGGCGGGGACCCCACGCTGGCTTGCTAATCCCTCTTCATTTGACATTGACCAGGGGAAGATGCCTTCAGGAAGGGCCAGAGCTTTGGCGTCAAACAAATCAGGGTTTACATCTTGCTCTGTATGAGCCTGAGCTAACTGTTTAGTTCAGGCGCACCTCGTTTTATTGTGCTCAGCTTTTTCATACTTTGCAGATAACTGCGTTTTTTAACACATTGAGGGCTGGTGGCAGAGCCAGTGCCATTTTTCTAACTGCATTTGCTCACTTCATGTCTCTGTGTCACATTTTGGTAGTTCTCACACTATTCCAAACTCTTTCATTATTACTGTATTTATTATGTTGCTCTGTGATGAGTGATCTTTGATATTACAAACGCGTGGCAAAAAGATTACAACTCACTGAAGGCGCAGGTGATGGTTAGCATTTTTTAGCAGTCAACTATTTTAAAATTAAGGCATGTACGTTATTTTTTAAACATATGCTATTGCACGCTTAACAGTCTAAAATATAGTGTAAACATAACTTTCATATGCACCAGGAAACCAAAAAATCCGTGTGACTTGCTTTACTGCAGTGGTCTGGAACGGAACCCGCAAAACCTCCGAGGTCTGCCTGTAGTGCCCAAGTTCAGTTCCCTGGTGTAAAACTGGGGTGACAACTCTATCCCTATTGTGTCTACAAGGACCCAGTGAGATCAAGCACCTGGAATACGCCTGAGAGCAGGCATCCACAAGGTGCAGCCCTTCCTCTGCAGTACTTATTCCTAATCATCTGCTCCTGTTGTCAGTCTGCAGTCCACAATGACCCTCTGATTTCTGCTTTGAGTGAGACTAATAATAATGAGATGAATCACAATAGTAAGAGGCATGTCTATTGTATGTAATCTTTTTAATTGTTTAGCTTTTCAAAGTATTTCCGCAGACAATGAAATAACGCAAGTAAAGAGCACTGAAGAGTTAAGAGTTATGCAACTCGTTGGCTAGAAACCATAATCTGATGTTCTTTCCGGTTTGGAAAGTAGATTTAAACTGCATGAGAGGCTCTAAAAAGGAAGCGATGACAATGTAACTGCAAATGATCCTAAAAAGAAGAAAGATGAGAATGGCTACAGAAACCGCATCTGCCACCCCAGGTAGGTCTGCACCGGGTCCTGGTTCAGGTACCTTGGGCCTTCATTATAGAGACTCACACCTGCCTGCTCGGCCCTGAACAGGGAGAGTTATATCAGAACCCGACCCCACCAGTAAAGAGGTTCTAAAGTTACTCTTGCTCCTCCGCATCAAATATGTCCATGTTCAAATCCCTGGAACATGTTAAAGTCACCTTATAAGGCGAAAGGGACTTTGCAGATGTGATTGAGGTAAAGACCTTGACATAGGACTTAAGCCTGGTACCCAGGCAGGTCCATCCAATCACACAGGCCCTTAAAAGCAGAGACCCTGGGCCTTCCCTGGTGGCGCAGTGGTTGAGAATCTGCCTGCCAATGCAGGGGACACGGGCTCGAGCCCCGGTCTGGGAGGATCCCACGTGCCACGTAGCAACTGGGCCCATGAGCTGCACCTACTGAGCCTGCACGTCTGGAACCTGTGCCCCGCAACAAGAGAGGCTGCGATAGTGAGAGGCCCGAGCACCGCGATGAAGAGTGGCCCCCGCTCGCCGCAACTAGAGAAAGCCCTCGCACGGAAACGAAGACCCAACACAGCCATAAATAAATAAATAAATTTAAAGGAAAAAAAAAAAGCAGAGACCCTTTCCCAGCTGTGGTCAAAGAGGAAGATGTGAAGACCAAAGAAGGATCAGAGAGGCAGAATGTTGCTGGCTTTGAAAATGGAGGAAGGAGGCCTCTAGAAGCTAAGAAAAGCAAGGAAACGGATTCTGCCCTGGAGCCTTCAGAGGACTCAGCCATGCCTTCATCTTGGTTTCAGCCAGTGAGACGTCTATCAGATTTCTGACCTACAGAACTGTAAGATAATAAATGTGTGTTATTTTAGGGCATTAAGTTTGTGGTAATTTATTGCAGTGGTCATAGGAGACTAATACACACTTGAAATATTGTTAATTTGCCCAGATCTTACCTTGGGATTCTACCTCGGTTTCCTGGGTTCAAACTGTAATTTCTCCACTGGGACTCTGAATCAGACTCCTCCTAGCTTATGCCCCCCACCCCATGGAAATATACACACAATGTTCCATACAATGACTCTACCCATACTAGAAGAAATCCAAACAGACCACTAAACCATGGTGATTATCCGACAGTAGAGAATCTACAACAGTGGTTCTTAATAGTCTTCTGGGGAACGTCTAAAACATACAGATTCCTAGGACCTGCCCCAAAGCTATGGAGGCAGAAACACGACACTGGGCGTGTGTCGTATTTACAAGCTCCACAGTGATTCAGCAGAAGTGGCCGGCACCGAGGACTTCTGTTCTAGAACAAGGTGATCCTGTTTTCTATCTGAAGCACTGCATCCACTTCTGAAAACCACACTTTGAGATGTAGGTAGAGAAACTGGATAATGTTCTCACAAGAGCAACCAGGATGGTCAAGAGGAACAGGTAAAGGATCCTGGGAGCTTCTACTAGAGATGAAAAGATACAGGGTTTGGAAGTGGGAGGTGGGGGCAGAATACTATAACAGCTGTCCTCAACTGATGAGTTTCCTTGTGAAAGAAGGATTAAGACTTCACTGAATGTCTCCAGGATGGAGGTACAGAATTCCGTTTTTTAAGAGAATCCTTGTATCATACAGTTCTGTCATTTGCTGAGCAAAAATTGGTTGGCCTGGGGGAGCTTGGATGGGGGGCTTGGTTACATATAAAACTGCATTAGAACATCTAGAAAAGGTTTGAGAACTACTAGTGAACAGTCTCAGAAGCCCAAGATGGAATTCATCCATCCATCCATCCAGTGAACATTTATGGAGGTCCTACCATGAATCAGCTGCTATTCAAGATGTTAAGGATATGGTGATGTGTCAAACAGACAAAGGACCTACCCTCATAGAGTTTACCTTCTGTTGAGAGAAACAGCAAATGAGTAAACAAACAAATATGTTACTTTAGATACTGATAAGAGCTACAAAGAAACATAAAGACAGTAATAGTAAGAGAGTGATGGGGACTTTATACAGGAGAGTCAGAGAAGGACTCCATGCTCAGAAGGGGATTGTTTCGGAAAATACCAAGATCCCCATCACAGAATTACTCCACTTGGTAAGAACGTGGTAAAATATAATCAAAGAACAGCTGAACAGTAAAGCTGGAGGATGCTCGAGGTTTCTTTATGAAACATGTCTCAATATTTTATTTTATTTATTTATTTATTTTGCGGTACGCGGGCCTCTCACTGTTGTGGCCTCTCCCGTTGCGGAGCACAGGCTCCGGACGCGCAGGCTCAGCGGCCATGGCTCACGGGCCCAGCCGCTCCCCGGCATGTGGGATCTTCCCAGACCGGGGCACGAACCCGTGTCCCCTGCATCCGCAGGCGGACTCTCAACCACTGCGCCACCAGGGAAGCCCATGTCTCAATATTTTAAAAGGGAGAACATAGTTTTTAGAAACTGGGAATAAGGCTGTCATTAATCTCCAAAAATTCTTAAACTGATTATTAAACAAATGATTAATGGGCACTTAGAACAGAATGTAGTGGCCTTCAGGGGCCAGCTTCTCTAAGAAGAGGCATGTCACACTAATCCCATTTCCTTTGCTGATAGGGTTATCCGATTAATGGATTGAGGAAAATTGTAGATAGAGTACACCTTGATTTTTAAGATCTTAACCAAGCAACATCCTTATGTATAAGGCAGATTTGAAACAGGCTAAAGAAACTTATTTAAAGAATACCCATTAATGAATTAATCCCACCCAGGAGAAAGGCCCTATTTCATTTCTTCTTTGCTAATTATGTTTAATGTTCTTCTTACTATACTTATCTGGCTCAGATGTTCCTACTATTATTATGGTAAGTGTTGGATCAATCTGCCCTGTTATTTCAATGTCCCAAAGGCCCACTTTGTTCACTCTTTTTAATGTAAGTGCAGGATTTTACACTAATCCCCATTTAATTTCTCTGTGTTATTTTGGAGTATTCCTCCCTACAAGAACTTTCAACATGGTTTGATGAAAAGATCACAATTTTGTACAAAAAAGTACTGAATAAATGCCCCAGTCTGTTACTGACGAGGTGACCCTCTTTGAAGCTTAACTTTCCTATATCTAAAATGGAGATAATACCAGAATTATTATTATGAGAAACAAAGCAGAAGCACAAGACATCCTGCCTCTAGAAGTCTTCCCTGGGGGAGACGGCCCCATTGATGACTCACGGCAGTTGGCCTCGTCCTGGCCGTCCTGGCAATCCTGAAGGCCATCACAGCGCCTCCAGCTGGGGATACACTTCTTCGGTTGTCGGCACTCGAACTCAAATCGGTCACATCGCCCGAGCTGGGTGGGAGTGGAGGCAGCAGTGACATTTGCTAGAAGAAAAGATTTTTAAAATTCACTTTTTAGTACTGAGGGGCTGGCCAGCAATAGCGACCTATTGGGTGTGTTGGAGATCTCGGTGCTTTCAGAATTACGACGGGGACCTGAACAGAAACGTGAGCTCTGGTGAAAGAGGGCAGGTTGACGAGACACAGGGATCTCATCCTTCTCTCTCTCAGGCCCAAACTCAGTTGAACACTTTGAAGACAGAGGTGAGTAAATCTTGTAGAAAGTAGAAAAAGAAAAGATTACAGAAAAATTTTTTTAAGTTTTAAAAAAGTAAGCGGACTAGATCAGGAGATTCAACATATGACTGACGAGAGTTCCAGGAAGAAAAAGAAAAGAGAGAAGAAAATACTAAGGGATATTTCAAGAAAATTTTCCAAAACTAAAATATGTAAATTTCCAGAATAAAAGAGGACATCAGTGCCATCCACCACATTAGACAGAAAGAGACCCACAGCAAAGTACAGCACTGTGAAATTTCAACACTGGTACCAAAAGGAAGATTCTACAAGCTTCCAGACAGTAAAAACAGATTACACATAAAAGATTCAAATCAAAATGGCTTTGGATTTTCCAAGAGCTGCTTTCCCAAGTCAGAAATTCGAATGTCTTCAAATTTCTGAAGGAGATATATATATATGTATGTTTTTTTTTTTTTTTTTTTTTTTTTTACAGCCTAGAATTCCAAACCCAGCCCAATAACCAATCAGGTCTGAACACGGAAGAAAAACACTTTCAGACAAGCAAGGCCTCAAATATACCTCCCATGTACTCTTTCTCAGGAAATTTCTGGAAAATGTGCTCTACCAAAATGTGGGATTAAACTAAAAACCAAGAGGAAAGACCTGGGATATAGAAAAAGGAGCTGCAACGTGAGAGAAGTAAAGCGAGTCCTAAGGATGGAGAAACAACCTCCCAGAAGATACCTGTGCCCCAGACAACCCGCACAAACCAGAGAAACTCAAGAGATAAACACCTTGAATGAAGGCCATCATCACCGTGTCCTCGGGCACCATATCATCATATTCACCTGACAAAGCTACCAGAGGGTGTGCTCCAGCAAAACAAGGGAGTAAACTAAGAAAAAGCAAGACACAAGGTCCAGGAAAACGGGGAATCTAAATCAGGAGAAAGGCAAAGAGAATTCCAGGGAGGGCAGTGAAGCCCCAGGGTAAGGACAGGCAGCAGGCTGGGAGAACAGTCAGCCAAGATAGGAGATGCCAAGCTCCTCTTAGAAGGGATATCTCCAAGGCAAACAATGGAGCTGAGAAATCACCTGATACAGTGACCTTGTGGAAAGTTACACCAAGAGGCTGCTGAAAGGGAGGAGGCACCAGCCAAAGATACAATAACCTGAGGCAGCAAACAACAACAGAAAGCAATGATTAGCTTTGGGATACTGTGTGTAGTCCACAGTTGGATAACTGGATTTCCAAAGGGCCTCTCCAACCCCCAGAAGCACTCTGCTAAAACAAAGTGCGTGGAGAAGAGTGGGGGAAAAAATGAGGCCAGAGGACTGGGCCAAGGCACATCATGGCGCTCACACCTGGACAGTAAGGGCACCATCAGGGGGGTCCAGGCTGGGAGAGGATATAATTACGTATTAGTATGTATTAGGCTTCTTGGAAGATAAATCGCAAAGGGGGAGACATGAGGCAGAGAACCCAGTTCAGAGTGAAGAAATATCCAGTGAAGAAATAAGATCTGAGAGCTAGATGCCAATTTAACGTTACATGGGCAACATACATAAAAAAAGAATTCAAAAAAGCTGACTGCAGCATCTAAACAGGAATCTGCTCACTGAATTAGTCCGAATTTGCTAGAGTTGGTTAACGTCCTGCTCGGTTTCAGTAACCAACAGGCAATTTTGAGAGAGGGACAATCAAGTTACTGCAGAGAGATGGGCCTTGGGGGAAAAGGGCAGAGACAGAAGGGTTTTTTTCATTTGTTTTAATCTGAGAAGCATTTACGGGGCACTGGCTATCTGCCTATTATTGTGGTAGGCAGAGTGGGAGATTCAGACTAAAACACGAGGTCTGGCACAATTGCTATGGAAAGGAAAGATTTATACACATGCAATGACCAAGAAGCAACATGTGGCTGTTCATAGTTCAGTGCCAAAAGGACAACAGGGCAGAGTTCAATGACACTGGAAAAGGGGTGGACATCAGCTAAAGAACTCAATGAACGCTCTGTGGGGGTGGGTCTTGAGAAGGGGAAGAAAACCCTACCTGCCTGAAAGAGGAGCCTCAATCTATAGTCAGCCTACCATTCACACGGGGAGCTCCCGGGCTCCAGGCAGAAGTCCTGATTCTATAATTTTATAAACACCCCAAGTGATTCCATTACAGGTGGGCTTCATGCTGTACTTTGAGAAATACTGACAACATACTGAGGTCTCCTTTAACTACGAAACCTGTGTTTCTGTCTGCCCTGACCGACAGTGGGTTTCACAGAGAGGGAAAGTAGGGGGACGAGGTCGGGTCTGATAAGGGCAAAAACCCTACTGGAGGAATCTAGGCAGAGAAGAAGCAGGTGTGTCCAGGGTGGGTGAAGAGTGCAGTTTGCAGAAGTGAAAAGTAATAGCAAGCAAGGAAAGATCAGCTCAAACAGGGCCTTGAAAATAGGACTCAGGGGTTAGGGTCTATCTTCTGGACAAAAAGGACAAGTGGAAACCAGTGATGATTTTAAACAGGGAAGAGATGGGATGAAAACAAGTCTTAAAGGAGGAAAATCAGACTACTGACCTATAAGTTTGCTGAAAAGAATTATGTAAACCATGGCAAGCAAGGACCTATTATTTTATTATAACTGAGTTTGAAATGGAAAACTGTTTAGGAAAGGATACAATTCTGCCTGCAGTTAAGGGTGTGCCCTAGGCGGCGGTCTCACGGTTCACCAAGACCTCCAGCAATACGGTCACTCACAGACCTCCAGAGCCTCTCTGTGTTCAGCCACTAGATGGCAGTGCTTACCCTTCTGTTCATAGGATGGCCGCCAACTAGCAAGCCAGAGACTCGGGTTCTGTACCCTGCGCCGCCCCGAGTTTAATACACACAGACGCCTCCCCTATAATTCCCATGGTAACCTCCTGCGGAGAGGAAGCAAAGGAGACCCAACCACAGCCAAGGAGGAAAGCAGGGCGGCTGGCCTTTCCCTGCAGGAGGATCAGAGGGCAGTGATAGAAGATGACTTCTCAGTTCCCCGGGGTCTCCCTGCTCTGGAGGTGAGAAGGGGCCTGGCCACAGAGCAGAGTCCCAGAGGGCAGGATACTGCCCTCAGCCAGGCTGTGCCCAGGGTGTAGCCCCAGAGGTCCTCTCCTTAAAGCAGGTGCCACGGGCCAGGGCCGGGTGCCGTACTCACCAGGCGAGGGGCAGCCTTCCTCATCCGAGCCGTCTGCACAATCTCGGTACCCGTCACACACCCAGCTGTCCATCACGCAGGCCCCACTGCTGCAGCGGTAGTAATTGGGCAGACACGTAGAGGGCCCGGGAGTAGGGGAGGGAAGAATATGTGAATCTGAGGAAAACACCAAGCAAGGAAACCCAAAATGTTACAGGAAGCTTGATCTCAGACCCAGATGTGTCCCAAACCTAGCATGGCTGTCCCAGATTTAGCTGCACCAGCCCAGGGAGGCCGGTGTCAGGCACGGTTCCGAACAGTGAAAAATCATTTATGATGGGGTGTCAGAACAGACTGTATTCTCTTCCCTGCTTTGGAGTGGGTTCACCTTACCTATTTGATTTGATTTGGGCTAACATTTGGATGAGTTAGTTTCGCAGGGGCTCATGCAGGCTGGTGGAAGGACTCGGAATGCACAGGGTGGGTGGGAGAATTAATTACCGTGGAGGATAAACCCTGTTCTGCTTAACTTAACGCCAACCTTCCCGAGACCGGCTCCGGGACGAGAACACCGAGAAGGAAAGGGATGGGCACACCGCCCACACCAGTGCTCCCCTGGCGTGTATCACGTACACATAAATGTGTCACGGCCCATGCGTCACCCAGAGCGCTCGTTACAACGCAAACGCTGAGTCAGGAGGGAGGCCTCGGGTGGGGTCAGAGGCTGCCGTTCTATCAAGGAGCTGTGGGTCTGCAGGCCACATTCGGGGTAGCCAGGCTCTGAGCTCTAAAGTCCTCACTGTGCCCTGGAAAGCATAACCCTCAGAACAGGAGAAATCAACCGGGCTGCTTTCACAGCGGGAGGGGAAGAGCAAAGAACTCAGAGAGACAGTTACCCCCCGCCCCTCCCAAAAAAGTCACTGCCTAAGCCAGCCACCAAAGAGACAGAGCTGGATTCTGTGTGAACAGGTGGGAGGACGCTGGCATGTCTCAGCGATGGGGCTGCCCCGGACCCTCACCTGCACAGTCCTTCTCATCAGACCAGTCCCCGCAGTCGTTCTCCCTGTCGCATTTCCACCTGTTGGGGATGCAGTGCCCATTCTCGCACGGGAACTGGAAGTAGCGGGAGCAGTTGGGGGCCTCCGTGGGGTTTTCTGGGGGGTGAACCGCATGGTCAGTCATCTGCCCTGCACGCTGTGGACACAGAGCTCCAAGGACACACAGGCTCCTCACCCAAGCCCCAAGGCAGCCCACGAGGCCCTCCCAGAGAAGGACAAGGCAGCTTCCTGGACGCATCAGGAGACAAGAGCATATCCACAAACAAAAGCCCACCTTCCTGGATTCCATCTCACATTCTCTGACGTATGCCTCTATGTCTTGCTAATGATACCCGAGTTTTAATTTTGACACTGCACCAAAGGAATGACCTAACTACTGATGATAACGTGATGGTGACAGTGATTTCTATTACGTTGTGGCATCTGTAACCTTTAGAGGGGAGGGGGAAGCACATTCCAAAATATTTATCATAACTCCTCCATCATATTCCTTATATATAACGTGAACTTCCTAACTGGGGAAAGAAAAGAAAACGGAATAAATACTCCCTGACCCCTGCTAGGGGGTAGGTTCTCACTTTAAGACTCAATTCCTTACACACGGATTCAAGAACTGGCAGGAACTGTGGCTGAGGAAGGAGATGGCAAAGCCGGTGCCGGAGTGGGCTGAGCGCCCCCTCCTTAACTTCAGGAGCCTTCAACCCGGAGATCAGGGAAGCGAGGAGGCAGACCCCAGGTCTCCTTACCACAGCTGGCTTCGTCAGAGTCATCACCGCAGTCATCCATCCCATCGCATTTCCAGATCAAACTGATGCACACTCCGTTCTGACACTGGAAACTGAACTCATCACACACCTTGTGGAACTCGGGGCCTGGAGCTAGGGAAGGAACGAACACCCGAAAAGTCCAGATTGCTTCTACACCAAAGAGCTCAGTGTAACACTTGCTGTTTGGAAACGAGAGGAAAGAACGAATGTCCTCCACCAAGAGACTGCACGGCTGAAGCATCCCTCGAAAGCGAGTCAGTGGAAGGCCTGGCCCCGGCAACCCAGAATGCAACTGTAGTTGGAGATAAGGTCTTGAAAGGGGTCATTAAGTTAAAGCGAGGTCATGAGGGTAGAGCCCCAATCTAACAGGACTGGTGTCCTTATCAGAAGAGTAAATGAGGACACAGGCGCAGCAGGAAGACCATGTGCAGACACAGGGAGAGGACGGCCATCCACAGGCCAAGGAGAGGGGCCTCAGAGGAAGCCAATCCTGCCGCCATCTTAACCCTGGATGTACAGCCTCCAGAACTGAGAGATCACCTTTCTGTTGTTGAAGGTCCCCAGTCTGTGGTCCTCTGTTTTGGCATCCCAAGCAGACTGACGCAAGTACCTACTATTGAGTTGGCCCAAAAGTTCATTTGGGTTCGTCCGTGACATCGCGGGAAAACCCGAACGAACTTTTTGGCCAGCCCAATGTAATTCGTGCAGGGCAGTGTTGGGGAACAGGGCTGTAGCAGTGAACGAGACAAAGACCTGCTCTCGTGCACACACACTCCAGCTGGGGGAGGCGGCCCACAAAATAAGTGTACGGCGTGCAAAGTGGAAGTGAGTGCGGTGAAGACACTGCAGCAAGGCAACGGGGGCCACTCAGTGATGGGGGCGCAAGAAATCCTGTGGGTGAAGTTGACACGTGGGCCAAGGTCTCGGTCGTCCTCTGTCCTCCCGTTTATCTGTACAACTAACAAGCAAGTTTCCGAAGCAACAAAGGTAGCCTTCTCGGAAAAGGCAAGACTGGGCCCTCAATCGAGACCTTGTAAACTAGACGGGGGCACATCCCCAGGCAGCCCAGAGCCCCTTAGTCTCTCCAGTGCCCGCGAGTGACCCCCCTCCCCCCGCCCCACTCACAGCATCCCGCAAACGCCGCATCCTCGTCCGAGCCATCGCGGCACTGGATGATGCCGTCACACACCATGGACTGGAACAGGCACTGCTGGCGGTTCTTACACACGAAGTCCATGAAGCGAGTACAGAGGGGCTCTGGAAGGGTCCAGCAAGGGAAAGAGGCCGTGAGCCCCCGGGGCTGGAGGCCTCGTGGGCCCTGGGAGGATGCACCCTGGCCAGACGCGCATTTGGGAGACGGGAGTAACAGGCACAGTCACCGAGCGCTTGCTTTGAGCAAACCCTGAGCTCTAGTACATCGTTAAACTCCCAGGACAATATGATGAGAGGTTTTACTCTCCTGTTTTCCAAATGAAGCACGGGGGTGGCAGTGTTAATTATTTCACCAAGAGCACACAGTGGATGAGGGTGGAGCTGAACCTGAATCCCAGAACTGCCTGACATCAAAGCCCATGATCTTAACCACGTATCGATCAAATGCTGACTCTCCAATATGGGGCTTGGCAAACTGTTGCTATGAAAGCACGGAGTCCTAACCACTGGACCGCAAGGGAATTCCCCCGCCCCCAACTTATATTATGTTGAAGCCCTAATCCCCAGTGTGACTGTATTTGGAGATAGGACTTTACAGAAGTAATCCAGGTAAAGGGAGATAAATCAATTGATAAATTGATCAAAAGGATCAATAAAAGTGGTGTCCATATAAGAGGCAACAGAGGTGCAGGCACAGAGGCGGCCACGTGAAGACATGGCGAGAAGGCAGCCTTCAGACCCGAACTGCCACGCTGGCTCATCCCTGGGTCTCCAGCCTGCTCTTCCCCAGGATGGGCACCACTGACTCCAGAAAACCTTTCCGGGTCCAAAAAAACTGGGCATAAAAAGGGTCACTGGGCCTAAAACTGTTACCTAAGTGATAGTCAGCAACTAGGAAAACCAATGAAGTAGGAGAAATAAGTGTCCAATTCCAAACCATTGGTCCATTCACAGGACATACTGCAGTTGAACAAAGATGATCATGGACCATGACCTAATTCCACAGTCACCCACCACGACTCCCTCCCCTGCTCTCCTTCCCCCAAACCGCACCTCCCCAACTCCATCCCTCTGAGTCCTGGTCGAGAACTTGGGGTCACCGCATTTACAAGCTAATTGCAGGCAGGTACTGAGGAAATGAAAGCATTTAGTCCAATGTGTGCCCTTCACTCACAGCCACAAGGCGCCCCCCAGGCAGGGTGAGGACTCACCACAGTGCTGTTCGTCTAAGCCATCCGAGCAGTCGTGCAGACCATCGCAGTGTTTGCTGGACGGGATGCAGGTGCCATTCGGGCAGCGGAATCCGTTGCACTTCTTCTCTGGAATGTGATTCAAGAAGAAGCAGAATAAGGATACAGGCAGGCACTCACATCATTGGTTGGCCGGGGGGCTGGGGAGGTGACGAGTATAAATTTGTCCACCGTACGGAGAGCTATCAGTATTACAGACGTATACATACGATGACCCAGCAATAGCACTTAAGAAAACTAATCTACCTACACGAGTCAAAAATAACGGAGGCACAAGGTTATTCATTGCAGCACTGTCTGTAATAGATTAAAAACCACCTACGTATCCGTCAATAGGGGACTGTGTAATTACTGTACCCAGGAACACTAGCCTGTTACAAAGAGACTGAAGAAGCACTACGTAAAAACATGTCCTAGATATACAGTTGTGTGGAAAACCAAGGTACGTGGCATACTACATGTGTAAAACAGGACAAGAACATGTAGTATATTTAAATTTGCATATATGCACAAAAATATTCTGAAAGGATACACAACAAAGGGAGGGAACCGAGCAGATTTTTCTTACGTACTCAAAAAAATTTTTTTTTTTTAATGAAAATTAAAAGAAAAGCTTCAAGTGGATGGAAAAAAGTAGGACACTCTTAAATCACTCACTGTCTTAATTCTTCGGGAATTGTAAACCAAAGCCCTTTTGGAGAAAGTTTGTCCTAGAAATGTTAAGAATCTTAGGTTTCGCACTTAGCATAGAATTCTTAGCACTAGGTCACCCCTTCTCCTGAACAGAGAGCTACCGCCAGACATGTGACTTAAAAATCACTTCCAGCAGGCCAGTTGCAAACCCATTCCACTCTTGGTGGAATGGTCCCAGGAGGATCAGGGATAAGACAAGAAAATGTGTTTTAATCCTGTAAAAAGTCATCATTCTTAGGAGACTGTTCAAAGGACATCAAACAGAAACAGTAAAGGAGTACCATGAGTTGGGGAAATAGTTAATGTCACTCAGCATAAAAAGGTTTTTCAAAAGTATAAATTTTAAACTGTACAAGACAAATGCCCACTCACTAAATTAGTGAAAACAACTCAAAAGATTAAATCAAGGGAGGCTTGGGGAAACATACGATATATAACTGATGGAGAGCCTTTCAGTATAGTCACTCGGAAATAAAATCTGGAAACGCTTAATGAGAACCATGGAAATCGAACAGAACCTTTGACCCAGCACTTCCATGTTGAGGGACATACCCCAGGAAGTACCTCAAAGGAAAATGAAGCCTTCATTTCCAAGGACACAAACAGTTTTACTATGCATTGACAGTATGAAACTGAAATTACTCAACCAGGGAGCGACTAAGTAAAACTACGTTATAGCAAAAATACAAAGAGAAAAGACATCTGCCATGAAAATGCTAACCACAGAAATACAGACGTATGGAAACATCTTTGTTTAATATTGTGCCATGAAAGGAGCAGAATATAGAACAGCACGCAGACAATGGTACAACCCCATGAAAATTAGCGACGTATGGTATGAAATAACAGAAAAGATGTATATTGGTCTCTGCCCCCGGTTACTGGCATCAAGCTTCTAAAACGCTTATAATTTCCTGAGTGACGGGAATGTCTTTTGTTCTAATGAGGTGACTGGGGGGGGCTGGTCATCAGAAAAGCCATGCGACGACTAGAGGCCTGGAGCTTTCCAGCCCATCCCCACTCCAGGAAGAGGAGAGATCTGGAGACTGAGCTCATGATGGATCACGTCTAAGTGACGAAGCCCCACCCCCAAATCCCAAAAGTAGGCGGTTCAGACCGCTTCCAGGCTGTTGAACACGCGGAGGTGCTTGGAGGGTGGTGGGGCTTGGAAAGGGCGTGGAAGGCCCATGGCCTTCCCCGTACCTTGCCCTGGGCTCTGGGCTCTCTTCCATCTGGCTGTTCACCTCTCTCCTTTATCATAACTTTTTACAATAAACTGAAAAATTGTTGTTTCGCTGAGTGCTCTGAGCCATTCTAGCAAATTATCAAACCCAAAGAAGAGGTGGTAGGAACCCAGATTTATAGCTGGTTGATCAGAAGAACATGTGACAACATAGGACTTGTGACTAGCATCTGAAGTGGCGGCTGTGTGATGTGACACTGTCTTGAGGAAGACAGTGTCAGGATTGAGTTAAATTGTAGGACATGCTGGTGTCGGGGAATTGCTTGATATGGAAAACACACATTTGGTGGCCAAGAAGTGTCAGAAGTATTGTGTGAGCAGAGTATTGAGACTATAAGGACAAAACAGGGAGTCTTTCCCACAGACACACGGCAAGAGGATAAGGAGAGAGAGCTTTAAAACTATTTGGTGTGAAAGGGGAAAGGTTAGGGGGAGGGATAAATTAGGAGGTTGGGATTAACATGTACGCACTACTATATATAAAATAGATAATCAACAAGGACCTACTGTATAGCACAGGGAACTCTATTCAATACACTGTAATAATCTATATGGGAAAAGAATCTGAAAAAGAATAGATACATGTGTATGTGTAACTGAATCACTTTGCTGCACACCTGAAACTAACACAATATTGTAAATCAGCTATGCTCCAATATAAAACGAATTTTTTTAAAAAGTTTGGTGTGAAAAAGCCTTTTATGTATTGTGTTTGTACGACAGATATTTTGTGGTTAATTTCGAATGATTATCTCAGAATCCTTTTTTTAATAGATCATATTGAACAAGTTCTGCCTTAACGAGTGGTAAGCCATTTTCCCAAGAGGCCATAACGGAGACCTCTTAGCCATAAAATATACCATTTGTATAGTAACTGTTGGCTAACTTCCGGCAGAACACTGGTAATGTGACTGCATTTAGTGCTCCGGGTGGGTTAGTGGGTTTCTATTTCTTTTCTTCAAAGTTGTTATGGACAAGCAGTGAGGCAACCTGCTTGCCCGATTAAGACTACATAACCCAGGCCTACACATTGCACGGCACTGCCACACAGAAACTGTGGGCTCACTAGTGGTCAGAGCGGGCACCCGGGCCCAGCGGGACACTATTCAATTTCCTGGCCTGTCTGTTGTCTATTTTCCGGAACAGCAGACATGGGAAGTGCTCTGGGTGGGGCCAAAGCATCTGCACTTACCACAGCTGACTGGATCTTCATCAGAACCGTCTTGGCAATCCATGTCACCGTCACACGCCCACCGCTGGGGGATGCAGTGCCCGTTGTGACACTGGAAGTTGGAGGCCTCACAGGTGTGATAGATGGCTGCCAGAGAAAGAGAAGAGAGAAATGGTCAAGACGTCCCTCACCTCCGTGCTCCCATCACCATCAGGGGCCAAGTGGAGAGAAGGCTTGTACTAGATCACAGGTATGACCTGGGGCTGCCCTTAAGGTGGAACGCAGCCTCCTGAATGGCCAACAGCTTGAGGCTCTGAGTTTATCAGTGTTACAAGCACAGATATACACGTTAAAAAAATCAGTCACTTTCACAACAACTTATGAGGTAAGAAGTATTCCGCCTTTTACAGATGAGAAACAGGCTTAGGACGCTAAGAAGCTCGCCCACAGCTTCTTAAAAGCCTGTGCTTTTAAGCCTGTGCTTTTCCAAAGCCTGTGCTTTCTCCACTCTACCTGGCTACTTTATCTTCTCACTCATCCAGATTCTGCAGGATGAGGACAGGCAGTGTGTGCTCAGAGGACTGGGTTCTAAAGCTGGTCCCCACTGTGTGGAGGCCTCAATTTCATCATCTATTTTCATATCTAAGGACCCCTGTAAGTTCTGAAAGGCCATGATTTTATAATTCTAAATAAACCACCCAATTTCAAATGTGGAAAACCTCAGGTCTGAAGAGAATAAAAGATGTATCCAAAATCTAACTTTCTGGACAGTTGAGAGAGACATCTACCAGCCAATAATACGGGGTGTTCTCTACAGTCATTAAAAGAAAAAAAAAAAAGGCAAGTGAAACAGAGCCACTGTTATAAATTAACAGGTTCATCTGCATACATGGGCTGAGGCCACCTGGAAGTCGTTTAGAAAACGTCCCAAAACCTCGGTCAAAGACTATTTCAGATGCATAGTATCTGCCTCAACCCCAACCAACACTACTGAGCGCCTTCTGCATCAGATTTCCCTTTCTTCCTCTGACACAGGGAGCAGTTTGTGTCTGTCTGTTGCTGAAAGCCAGGGCTGGCCTTGTTTACAACTGGCATAAAATAATATAACCAAGACAGACGGGCTCTCTTGGTTTAACTGTGTGGACAGGACGTTCTAACAACAGAAGGAGGTAAAACAAACAAAAGTGGGTTGTTGAGTGCACACCATAGTTATTTATTCAATCGAGATGGTTGGTAATAGTAACTCAAGGGTTGGGAAAATGGGCTTCCGATGCCCTCTAGAATTTCTACTGCCTTTGAGGCTATTTTTTTGCAGTAGTCTGAAATACAAAGCACCTGATTTTTCAAACCACTTTACAACAAACGGTTGTCCATCATCTGTTGACTTATCTCCTCAAAGACCAAGGCTATATCCGGTAGCATGCAAATAAGTCTACAGGAAGTTTCAATATTTTACAGCCTTTGGCAATCAGAATCCATTAAAAATCTTTTTAAAATATACTTATCTCTGATAAGAGGAATAAGTGTATCATGCATGTTACATGAGCTTTGCCCCAGTAACAGCCATTGCCTGGAATACTTCTGATTTATTGGTTTTACAAATCTGACAGCCCTTCAAAAAGTTCTTCACCAAAGCCTTGCTGGCTTTCATAAAAGATACTGTCGCCTAAACTCATTGCCATACTGATGTACTTGTTATTATTCAGCCTATGCATTTCAATTCCAGTTGAAAACAATTTCAGAGCGTTAATGAATTTCCCAAATGACAATTCTGGGGGCATGTTTGAGATCTCCAGATTCCATCACAGATGCTGAGTCAAGAAAGACTAATTAATTTGCACCATTTCATTCAAGTGGCCAGGTAGGGCTGGAATGCTTAACATACTCTCTTTTTCTGAATTTTTGTCTTCTGAGTAACTTACTAGCTCTCTGTCATTGAGTGTTTGATGAATGATACATGCTCAATCGATAATATTTTTTAATTACAAGGATGAAAGAGATGGACTTTAATACAGAGTAAAGAATTTGGGGAAGATGAAGAATCCTTTGCAGAGCAGGACTCATTGTGACTCTAAGAACAGAAAGGCTAATGGGGCAAATGATCATGAAGTTAGAATACCAGGGTTTCTAATAGAGGCCATTATCCTCCTACCTATTCTCTGACTTGGGCAGATCTCTCCTGACTCAGCAAGACCTGTTGTGACACCTGATCAAAAGCATGAGCCAAATAAAAGTGGGGCAGAAGAGATGAATTAATTACTGTGACAACAGAAGCACTGCCTTATTATAAAGCACGGGACTACTAGGAAATGAATGAGGAAAAAGAAATGCTAACATCAACACAACTTGAAAGATTAATAATGTAAAAAAATAACATAAAGCATGAAGAAAAGCGCACTGGAAAATAAAAGGCAGAATTTGAAAAAGAATCAAATAGAGGGACTTCCCTGGGGGCGCAGTGGTTAAGAATCCACCTGCCAATGCAGGGGACGTGGGTTCGATCCCTGGTCCGGGAAGATCCCACATGCCGCGGAGCAACTAAGCCCTTACGCCACTACTGAGCCTGCGCTCTAGAACCCACCAGCCACAACTACTGGGCCCGTGTGCCATAACTACTGAAGCCCACACGCCTAGAACCCATGCTCCACAACAGAGAGAAGCCACTGCTATGAGAAGCCTGCGCACCACAACAAAGAGTAGCCCCCACTCGCCGCAACTAGAGAAAGCCCGGCGCAGCAAAGAAGACCCAATGCAGCCATAAATAAATAAATAAATTTAAAGCACACATATAGTACACCAAAAATTATATACATAAAAGAGAACCAAATTGAAACTCTAGATATAAAAAAACATAGCCATGGAAATAAAAATAGCTCAGTGGGTGTGTGAAACAGTAGATCAGATCCAGCTGAAAAGAGAATTGTTGAACTGGAAGAGAAATCTGAGGAAGTAACTCAGAGTCTAGCACAGAGTCATAAGGAGACAGCAAATATGAAAACCAGAGGCATGAACACCAGAATGAGACAGTCCAGCAAATGGATGATAGTTGCTGCTGAAGACAAGAGTAGACAAAGTAGCAAACAGATACAGCTGAAAAGATAGTGGCTGTGATTTCCCAGAATTGATGAAAAACGTAAATCCTCAGATTTTAGAAGGAAAACAAATAGGATAAATAAAAATACTCCCACACCTAGGTAGGTGAAACTGAATAACAAACAAACAAAATGCAAAAAATGTAGAGACAACTGGAGAGAAAAGAATGTCAGACTGTTGTTTGAACAGATAATCTGAGAGGAGAATTTAAATCAATACAAAACAGGCCAGAAAAAAAGGGACTGATTCCATCAAAATACTTAGGGAAAATCCAGAAACCCAGATCCATCTGAATTCAGTTTTGAGATCAAAATAAAGACATGTTTCTATAAACAAAAACTTGAAGTTTACTACTCACAGACTCCTGCTACAAGAAACACTGAAGGATGTGCACAGAAAGGAAGCATTAGGTACAAGAAGCAGAAGCGGTAGACAGGTAAGTACCTATAAATAAGTTTGGTTACTAAAAAATAATAATGATGACTAATTTTAGGATTTTTAAAACGTAAAACTAAAATACGAAGTATTTCGTGTTTTAAAATACTAAATATATACGAAATATGTCAGTATTGAAACTGTGGTCAGAGACTGGAATCAAAGCAGGTCGAGGGGAGGGGAAAGATATTAGGAATACACATAAGATGTCTAGGGCAACAGCTAAAAGAACAGAAATGAAACATTTACGTTCAAAATCAATGCAGAGGGATGGAGGGGGAGGGATAAAGGAAACTCAATTCCATAGAAAGCAAAACAGGGGGAGGGGAAGAGCCAAGAAAATGCCCGGCACAGACCATGCATGAGAGCTGAGGCCCACAGGACGTCAGTCGACCCATTTTTTTTGGCTCTGCAGGTGACTTAATTTACTAGGCCAGGAAATGAAGTAACCCGCCACACATCAAAATGAGCTCACACCTGACCCCCGACTATTCTGAGATGACAGACAAGGAGAATCATCTTGAAAAGGTTTGGAAGCACAGCCATTGGAACAAGGCTGCAGTTGTGGTGCAAGCACTCTACACGTCCCCAGGGAGCCCTGCCAGAGAAAACCAGAGATAAAACGAGGAGTCTGCGACAAGCCCACCCACAGAACTGAAGTTGTTCATTCTTCGTGGAGGATCGACACATGCACCTAAAACACACGTTTGACTAACGTGCTTGTGCTAACAAGATGTTCAGTCTCCTTCAATACCGCAATTTACAAACGGAAATGCCCAGGTGCGCCCCTCTAATTTACTTATTTATTTATTTATTTGTGGTGTGCGGGCCTCTCACTGTTGTGGCCCCTCCCGTTGCGGAGCACAAGCTCCAGATGCGCAGGCTCAGCGGCCATGGCTCACGGGCCCAGCCGCTCCGCGGCATGTGGAATCTTCCCGGACCGGGGCACGAACCCGTGTCCCCTGCATCGGCAGGTGGACTCTCAACCACTGCGCCACCAGGGGAGCCCCACCCCTCTAATTTACTAACCAACTATCTGCCCAACTCAAAGCTTCCGAACAGCACTCATATGCTTCCTGGGCTGATGGCAGTTCCTTTGCGGACCTTGGTTACCCCTCCTTCCGCAGGCCAGGCTTGTACACGGAGAGAAGCAATCGCCTGCAGTCCTTCCAGAAGCAGAGGCGCAGACCCCGAGACTGCGCCAGAAAAGATATGGGGGCGGGGGGGAGTTTACGAGGGGGTGGAATCTGGTAACATCACAGATCAGCCTGTGTGATGTACCTGGCCTTTGACGAGCTCCGTTTACTCCTTAAAGTCATGTAAGGTCACGTCTAAAGTAAAATGAATGGAGAGTTACAGTTGTGTAGAATTACCCAATCAACAGAGGTTCTCTGAACTGGGCACTAGGAGAATATAAAGGAGTAAAATATCATTTCTGCCCTTCACAAACCAAATCTAAAGCAAAGCACAACACTGATACGTAAGTGTGGGACATGATAACAGATCTACTTTTTATTTGCTTTTGCAAATTAGGAGGCATGCTTTGAGCTCCCGGATGCTGGGCGGTGTGTAAGAACTGCTGGGGTACCGTGGGGGAAAGAGAGATTAAGACACGGGACTTAAGGGATTTAATTCGCGAGACTGAAGATCCATTCACAGTGGATGGCAAAATGAAGGCTGAATGACCAGATCTCCCCTCGCCACAAAAGGGTTAAAGGAGACATCTTTACCTCCATCACTGGAGGGATTTAGGGTAGAACGGAATGACAATTTCTAGAGGAGGTTGCAGAGAAAATTTACTCATCAGAAGTGGGCTTTGTTTTCCTGCCTCCAACTTCCCCAACTCCTTGCTGTCCCCGAGTCCACCATGATGCATACGGCCCTCGTTCATTCATTCACTCACAAAAAACAGTGAACATGAGTGAACTTAACACCCAACAGAAGAATTACAACACTACTTCTACCTTACCCCATCCAGCCTTCCTCTCATATTCTAATGTTGTTCCCAAATTTACTTTCGATAAAATCTTACCCAACACAGGTGCAAGCACAATTTAAGCTTTCAGTGTTTAGGGAACCCCTTGATGCTGCATTCCAAAACATGCACTAGTTCACTGTTACTCAATGTGTGGTCCCCAGACCAGGGGTCAGTCTGTAAACTCTGTTACTGGTCCTAAGGAAATAAGCTTGAGCCAAAATGTACATCAACTCGATCACTCAGGAGACTGTTCAGTTGAACACTTTTTCATGGCAAGACCTTCTCAATGGAGGAAGCAGAGAGTTGGTTACAAGCTTATCAAAGATCAGCTCTTTGAGAAGCACTGATCTCGCTGGTTTCTAAGGTCCATTTCTTACAGCCTAGATTCTGCGATCACGTAGGGCTGCAATGCTACCCAGCACGTGAGCAGGGAAGTGCTTCTCAGGGAGTCCAGGGAATACTGACCGGTACAGTTGGCTTCGTCAGACCAGTCCCTGCAGTCGTTGTCCCCGTCACACACCCAGGAGGAGCGGATGCACATGCCAGAGCTGCAGCTGTATTCGTCAATCCGGCACTGGTGCATTTCTGCAGGTGAGACCACAGACAAGGATCTGAGCACAAAAGCTTGCCCGGAATTCTGTCTCTGAGGTCAAAGCTCCTTAGGGTTAGAGATGCACCCAATATCCCTATTATCGCTGATGATCCACGCATGAAGACTTTAGCCAGGGATGGAAAGTCCTCGAGGATGGTGCCCAAGTACAGCCGGCCCTCCGGATATTCAGGTCTTGCATCCACAGATTTGGCCAACGGTGCAATAGGTACTATGTTTACTATGTGGAATCCGCGGATGCGGAATCCGTGGATATGGAGGGCCGCCTATGGGACTTGAGCACCTGTGGATTCTGGAACCCATGGCGGGTCCTGGAACTGATACCCTGTGGATACCCAGGGATGACTGTAGTGCGCTGCAAATGGGGCACAGGTGTGCTGAGATCCTGACACCTCACGCTCTGGCCACCAGTTGCCTCTAGGCGACAGTGGCCTTGGCCATTCATCTTGGTGCAATTTACAAATATCATTTCCTATGCCTCCTATGTCGGGAGGAAGGTTGGGAACCAATGCTCTGGCTGCCCAGAAAGCCATATTTTCAAGAAACAGACTTCCAGAGACAGAGCCTGTGGTTTCAGAACAGGAGTAATGAGAAAGCCGAGTGTGCTGATCGATGTGAGATGCTCAGTTCAGGGAAAGAGAGATCAGTGCTGAGCTCCCCGAACAGAAAAGCTGGTGACTTCCTGTGGGCAGAGCTCCCGGGATGCTGGCCGCTGGGGCTGTCTCAAGAAGGGTGGGGGCCGGAGACAAACGAACCAGGGCAGTCTGACCAGGACAGGAGGGGCAACTACACGGACAACATCTTTTGCAGGCCCTGGGGATACTAACAAAACAGAATTTTCACATGGAATTGTAAAGGTTCTAGGAAAACAGGAGTAGCCAAGCCCGGGGGCCCGGGGTGGCTGCCTCAGTGAGAGAGGTTGATGGTGAACTGGGGAGCAGATATTCATGACGAAACAGTCTGGAGACTCACGAAGAGGACCTGGATCTGAGGTAGGGATGACCTGAGACCTTGAGGTGGACTCAGGTGCACCAGCGTGAATGGACCATGAACAGAGAATCTGAGGGACAGACACCGTTTAACGGTCCAACATGTGTCCAGTGAGTGGGTGAGAGGACACATCAGAAACAGATAACCACGTGGCGATTCCTCCCGACGAGAGCAAAACTGGCTGCACACATTAACCCTCTGAGTGCAGAGGCGGACATGGGAGGAATGAAGGGAAAACAGTGCAAACCCCAAGGACTATTTCCTGGAACTCCGTATTTTTACAAAGGTGAAGGAAAATTATGTAACCACTCCCCCCCAGAGAAGTGCTCTGAGACCCAGGCTAGGATCATTTCCCCCACTCTCCTTATTTGAGTCCCAGTGAGTCAAACCCCCCATTTGTGATGCTGCAGGCCCCGTCCAGAAGCACACGCACAGCGGGACTGGACCTGCCCCCGTGTACAGGCAGGGAGCCCACAGGGCCTCACCGAACCCTCACAGCGGCGGGGTCAGCATCCGGCCCCCACACGCACTCCCCTCCAGGCTGGGGCACTCTGTGTACTGTTCCATCCTGTGACAGTCAGTAGCTACGGGTTTGGTACCCAGAGCCCATCAACTAAGACAGGGCTCGTGAAACTGACAGGGGAGGATTATGCAAGAAGAAGGGCGTGGGAAACACAGTCCCAGTTCCCTTTTCTGACACAAACTAACTGTGTCACCTTGAATAAGCCCCCTGACCTCTATGGACCTCAGGTGTTTCATCCGGAAATCAAAAGGACTGAACTAGAGAATTCCTACCACTCTTTCAATTCCAACACACTATTTTCCTAAATAAAAATGTCCATTCAGAAAACAGATGCTCAAACAACGTTTGTACCATCCACTGGCTTCTAACAGGGTTTACTGAATTAGATCAGTTAAAAAAAACAAAACAAAATGAAAAAACAGTTCACAAAGGTATAGCTCCGAGCCTCCAGGAGGCTAACGTCATAGCTGCCCAGAGGCGTGCGTGGGCTAAGGCTGTATAGCTGTTAATAACTGCCTAAATTCATTTAGAAATCTTCCTAATTCTCACACTCATGTGTACAGCATCTCTGCAAGGAAGCAGGGTCCATCACTCTATGAATGAATCAATCCTACCATGTGAATGGAGGTGGCCATGCAGCTGATGTCATAAATCCCACAATGGCTTTCAGAAATCCTCCATTTCCAACCCATCCCATGAGCCAGGGTGCCGCCCCCTCTGGAAGAGGATTCCTGGACATCACGTCCCCTTACCACAGTGACTTTCATCGCTATTGTCGCCACAGTCATCCTCAAGGTCACATTTGTAGGACAGTGGGATACAGGTCCCAGACTCCTGGCAGCGGAACTGGGTGTCTGGATCACAGATGGTAGTAGCTAGGATGGGAAAGAGAGACAACATGCTCATTAGGTCCAGTCAACTCCCCCCAAATACAAACATCCCACTGGAAAGCCAACTGAAAAAGAGGAGGAAGCAGATTTTAATTGTAATATGAATTTCAACAACAGAATCGAAACCTAGACTTACAGAAAAAATAAACTGCGTGAGAACCTGAAATTTACAACCAAGGGAGATAAGGGCCTATCTTTCCATGGACGGATTCCAGACCCGAACAGGGCTGGGAAGAGTGAGAAACGGTCACTGAGCTAGGAGACAGCATGATGCGTTACATCAGGGGTCCCTGGTACCGGTCCGTGGCCTGTTAGGAACCAGGCCACACAGCAGGAGGTGAGCAGTGGGTGAGCGAGCGAAGCTTCATCTGTATTTACAGCCGCTCCCCCTTGCTCGCATTACGGCCCAAGCTCCGCCTCCTGTCAGATCAGCGGTGGCATTAGATTCTCATAGGAGCGTGAACCCTACTGTGAACTAGGCACGAGAGGGATCTAGGCTGCTCGCTCCTTATGAGAACCTAATGCCTGATGATCGGAGGTGCAGCTGAGGCAGTGATGCTAGCGCTGGGGAGCGGCTGCAAATACAGATTATCATTAGCAGAGAGGTTTCACTGCACAGAGACCATAATCAATCAGTGCGCCTGAATCACCCCGAAACCAGCCCCCCGCCCCCGTCCATGGAAAAACTGTCTTCCACGAAACCGGTCCCTGGTGCAAAAAGGTTGGGGACCGCTCCACTATATAACCTCCTAAGATCCCCTCAGAAGTGACGGTGTCTTCCTAAATAAATGGCAGAAATACCTTCATCTGGAAAACTACCGTTAGGAGGCCCAATTTTACACACAAAGCTGGCTCCTCACCGTACAGAGGACAGAGGGAGGGTGAGGTAAATTCTGCAGCGGGAACAGAGGCCCTGCAGTCAGGCGAGACAGGGTTTCAAATCCTGGCTCTGCCTCTTCCTCTAGCAATTAATTTTAACCTTCCTGAGCCTCAGTTTTCTCCACAGCAAAAGGAAGATAAGGTCACGTGGGCAAGCGCTTGTGATGACAGACCCAAAGACCTGACGGGGGTCTTAATTCCACCAGCCACAACTTACTTCACCCAACCCCCTGGGCTTCCGGTCCCGCTACTGTAAAATGGAGATAATACCTACCCTCCTGGCATTATTATGAAGGTCAATAAGAAAACAAGTTTGGGACCAGCACCCATCCTTAGGATGTGGATATAATGGGCTCTAAACAAATGTCACGTCTCCTCCCATCCTTACTCTCGCCCTTCTGCCTCGGAATGTGAACACAATTCGATTTTTCTCCCCCTTCTGAACAGAAATTATCTGGGTTTAAGCATAAGCCCTAGAACCTTCCAGAAAAGGCTTTGGGAAAGAAGGCTGCTCCTAGAGCAGCCAATCCACAAGGAATGACGTGATAGAACAGAATCTTGGGAAGAGGGTAGGGAGTATCAGGAAGTGAGAGGCGGGTGGCAACCCTGCAGTCAGACGTGCCCGGCCACTCTTATTTGCAGCTCCGTTTCTTCTCCGTAATTGAGTTCATGGTGGGAGGCAGGGGATGAATGCAGAAATAAGACTGCAGGGGATTCATGTCAAAACCCCCAGCGGCTGACAGCCACCCAGGGCAGGAGCCTGCTGAAGAGGAAGGGGGATGTGCCGACAGCATCCCTCCCACGTCTGCCTTGGTTGCCACGCCTCTCCTCTTCCCTGGCAGCTGACGGGATGCCTCGTTTAACTTCCAGACAGCATTGCCCAGCCACGGCCTGTCCCCTCCTGCAGCCCTGCCCAGGAACAGGGTGCCTGCCCCCTCCTTGATAAGGGAGACCCTCAGGAAGGCTCAGATAAGCACCACCCTCCTGGCTCCCAGGCTCCACGTTTTATACCCTGCAACCCTCACCCCCTCACCTCTGCCACATCTGACTAGTCCAGGACCCGAGCCGCGGGGAATTGCAAGAAAGCAGAGCAGAAAGCGAGTCTCAGGGGCTCGGGAGGGTAAATCCCGGCTGACACTTGCACCTAACCAGGAGGAGTGCAGAGCCAGCTGCATACTTCCCTCCGAGGAGAAGCTTCAACTCTGCATGGAAACCTGTGAGGCCACAGCTCAGGGGCTGTGGGGAAGGAGATGGAGGGAGGTCTTCCTCGCAAAACACTGAACCCATATGAGACCCCAGCTCATCCATCTAGTAGAAACCAAAGCCCAGGAACCCCAGGAGGAATCCCGAGCTACTGGAGCACGAGGTCATCTAGTTTACAGCTCTCTGCTTCCGCTACGCCTCATTACGTCCGGGCAGTTTCCTTACAATGTGTTAATTCTAAGAAGTGTCTCCTCGCCCACCCTCTTCCATAACAAACTCCTTTGCAGAATCTGCTCCAATGATGTTAATATCAATTAATGTCTGTAAGGAGCGCTGGCTATCCCCTCACAAATATCGCACCTTCCTGAGACCCTGGTAGGTACAGGAGGTTTGATCAGTGTCCCTTTTGTAGGAAAGAAAAACACACGGAGAGGCTGGTGCTCTCCCAAATCTGCTGTTGGTAAGCTCCTCTCCCTCCGCGTGAAAGGCAGCCACCGAAACCAAGGAAAAATGATTAAGGTCTGGTAATAACCTCCTATGAGCCAGAAAAGGCAGTACATAGGATTGCAGGGCCCAGATGAGTTAACGAGTTGACTGTTCCTGAAGTCGCTTTCTGGGAGGAGGGGCATATGAACAGGCACGTGCTCTACAGATGGCTGGCAAAATACCTTCCCCAGAGGCAAGGTGGGTACACAGAGACGGGACACACCCATTAATCTGTCCTTATAGCACAAAATGAGAAATGAGCTTCTGGATTTCCAAAGGCAAAATATTTGGAAGAGAAGCCTTCAGACTGGTCTCTGGCTTCCCTGCTCTGGCCTTTCTCCCACCTCATTCATTCTGCCCATGCCTTTATCTTTCCAAAGGCAAAATCTTATCCTGTCATTTCAATGTCATTCCAAACTGTTCTTCTGATAAAGTCCAAAGGTCCTTGCTACTCTGGGCCCCAGGCACCAGGCCACCCTCCCCTTACCCCACGGCTCCCACTCAAGTTCTCAATAACCCACGCTGCTTTCCGGCTCATGCAGCACACATTGGCCTCAGGGCTTTCGTCCATGCTGCTCCCTTGCCCGGAACTTTCCTCCCTCTACCTCTGCTTGGTTCACCTCTGCCCACCCTTCCTAAGGACCTCCCCAAGTCTGATGGAAGCACCCTTCCTGAAGCTCACAGCGCTGCCCCATCACAGCGCTCATGGCTCGAATGTACCTGGCTGGTTACTTCTCTGACCCCGCTTCAGACTGTAAACTCTGTGTCCACTTTGATCACCAGTTTATCCCCAGGCCTATCACAGAGCCTGGAACACATGGTCCTCAATAAACACGTGTTGAGTGAACGGGTGAACACATTACTGACTGACCCCTCCTTAGGCGATGATGTCGAAGCTACTAAAAATTAACTGAAGAAAGATGGCCAACTTTGCGGTAAATAGATTATCCATTATAAGCAGTTATTTGTTTGTCCTTAAACCCTGCTAAACAGAATCACATACTTTCGCAGTTGGACCTTAGAAATTACATAGTCCAAAGATGACATCTACTTGCACACATACCAATGTTCCCACAACCCAGGCCAAAGCTGGCATCACCAATTAGAACAACCTCTCCTGAGCCCGGCAGGTAGCCGGCACCAACTGATTGGAGGTAACAAGGTAAAGCCTGTTTCCCATCTCCGAAAAGGCTAAACATTAAATTTATAAATCAAGGACTATCACCTGGTCACCTGCCCCAGGTCACCAGCTCTATTCACAGTGGAAGAGCCACAGTCAGAGCCCAGACTGCCTGACTCCCAAATCAGCTCAGTTCCAACCATGCGACGTATTTGTAAATCTCTTGCAATGAGTAGCGAGCTTACTATATGGGTTTGCTTTAATTAATAATAAATATCTAATATGGAAATGTGTTTTCTCCAGCCACTTAAATGGGCATCACTGATCATGGGGGCCCCAGACTGCAGGCCCCACCCAGGAGGCGCCGACCAGCCTTCCGAGTAATGGGAAATGCCTATCATCCCGAAAACTCGGCCAAGCGGGGACTCACGGCAGTTTCTCTCGTCGCTCATGTCCCCGCAGTCGTTGTCAAAATCACACCACCAGATGCTGTTGATACAGTTCCCATTGCTGCACCGATACTGGTTGCGGAGACAGGTGTTCTCTGGCCATCGGGGGAGACAGAGGAGGAAACGAAACCAATATCATTCTTCCTGCTGGACCACAAGGCTTTCTCTTCTGAGTGTCCATTTGTCTTACTCAAATAACAGGCCTTAGACGGCAAAGGGGAAGGGGGATGCCACACACACGTGCCCGCCGGGAAGCAAGCATCCAAGGAGGCCCCCTTCTCTCCTCTTTTAATTAAAATTGGAGAAGAGGCAGCTAGGAGCGTCAGAGGGGGTTACGATGATGAAAAAGGAGAGTGATGGTGCCAGGTGGGTCTAGTGGATACAGTGGGTCTAGTATCAATGTTATAAAATACTAATTTCACAAGGGACTCCTTAAGGGACCGTGTACCAAGATCCAAACATATATTCAGTGTGTCTATATAGTTTATACATACTATGGTCATATATATTCACATATATTCCATTTATTAACGAGGAGGGTTATGGAGATTTGCTTTACATATTCTTGAGGATTTTTTTTCTGCTTCTTCAAACCATGACTTCTTCAAAGCAAGCAGTTACAATTCCTCACACAGAAAAAAAGGCACTGTTTAGTCGACTGGGTCGAGAACACGTGATAACTGGCCTCCTGTTTGGATAACCAAAGGCATTCTGACAGGGATACAGAGAGGCCCTCTTCTCCTGCTGGAATTCAGTGTTAACTCCATTTCTTTCCAAACAACTTTAAGATGATGTCGAGAGCCTGAAAGAGAGTCTCCTGTGTCTTAGAAGAAAAGGTTCATTTTCTTTCCGTTTGTATTTCTTAAGAGAGCCCAGAAGGCCACTTTGGGTAAATGGAAAAACTAGACAGGAAAGAAAGATTTAGCAGGTTTTCAGGGGGAAAATGTTAGAATCGGTGTTGAAAGGGGGAGTGGAATGAGGCTGCTGCAGCCACTTGGCCAGGGCTTGGGAGGAAAAGGCTCGAAGTCCTCCGCAATATTGGTTGGACAGTTCAGACGTTTCCAGGCTGGCAGGGGGCGGGGGGCAGGGGGGCGGGAAGCTGCTGGATGAGATGTGGTGAACTCTGAAGGAGTCCGACCAGTCCCTTGCCCAAGTCGGGGTGGTCCGACTTACGGAAGCAGGAGAAGCTGGAGAAGACAGATGTGCGGCGTGGATGAGATGAGGAAGAGGTGGGAAAAAAAAGAAAGGGGCACTCAGAGGAAAGCCTGCATCTCCTGACACTAATCCTAAAAGCAGCTCTTATTCTTAAAGGAACAGCATGGGCCCGTTCTGGATGAGGACTGAGGGATCAAGGGCCTTGGAACCTGAACCAGGATGTCTGTATCTAGGGGGGTTTAATTTCTACCTTGGGCATTTTTAATAACCCCAAACATGAGTGCATCAAGGACACCCGGAGCGGGGACAGAAGGGAAGGGGGATGGTGGGAAAAGGAAAGCGACGCACCTTCTTTGACACACGTGTTGTTCTTCAGCTGATAGCCGTGAGGACACTCACACATCAGGTCCCCGGACGGGAGGGTGCTGCCGGACACACCGTCTGGACACCTGCAGCTTCTAGTGTTGTTGGCCTTGGGCAGACACAGCAGGCTGCACGGCCTGGACGCACAGGAGGTGCTTCCTGGAAAGGAGACAGATGGCGGTGGCCAGGTTAGTAAACACCAGGGTGCACCGAACGCAGGCCTGAGACCCAGGGCGACTTCCTCCTTCTACAGGCCCAGCAACACGAAGCTCAGGGAGAGAAAGAAGTGGCGAGTGTGAGACGGGCCCCGGCTGGATCAGATGGCCCCGGAACCAAGCCAGGCACCCACCGGTCCTCCTGGGAATCTGAAATCAGGACGCTGAGACGCCACAGGGTAGGTGGGGAGCTGGATCCGGGAGGAGAGCCATGCCCCATGGGTGTCACAGGTGCTGCAGGGCATCACAGGTGCTGCAGGGCAAGCCAAAACCTGTACAAATCAGAGCCGTGCAGGTAGGATCAGTCTGCAGCGTCAGGAGGACGAAGCCAACTTAGGGAGAGAAGAAAGGATGACACCAGGACGAGGGAACAGGGAGGGGGAGGGAGGACGGCTTTGCCAGGCCCAGCCCCAGTCCCCACTGGCGCACCTGCACCTCCTATATTGGGTTCCTTCCTATCCCCCCTTCGTTCTTTCCACAGCACTTTTCACTTGAGTTAGCTTGAGCGAGTTTACTATACCTTGTGACCCAAAAGCCCTTAATTAGAACATACACCTGAGAAACGACAGGGCTCGGACCAAAATCTGGGCCTGCCCTTCTCAATTCCTTTGTGCCAGGACACAGCTGCTGAGCTCAATGAGGAACCAACCAGAGACCCATCAGGCAATAAATCCACATGCAATGAACCCACATAAGGACCAGTCATTGTTGATCTAGCCCACTATCTCCAATCTCTTCTCTGGTTTAGCTTTCCAAAGAGCGTGCCAGCTAGAGTCCACACAATCCTCCGCTGTGCTCTCAGGGGAGGACTTCTGTGGATGGGCAGGGATGGAAATTAAGAAATGTATTTTTTCCTTTTGCCTGTGACTACTCATCACCAAAACCGGGAAAAAGAAACATAAATGCTTGGATAAAACTCAACTGATAGAGATTCTTCAGCTGTGCCATCTCGTGGACAGAGAACCCCACCAGAATGAAATCCAAGTAACCGGTTTCCAGCCAGACAAGATCTGAGCTAGGCCACGCCTCTGCTGGCCTCTGGTTGGGAAACAGGGTTCATTAATGACAATCAGTACTCAGATGGGTGATGACACACTCAGAAGCCTTGATGTGTTGGCACCTCATCGGTGTTTAACTGGTATTACACATAAAGATAAAAACCCCCATGGTACAGCAACAGTATTGCTTTCGTGCTAAGGATACAAGAGCACAAGGAATTACCAAGTAGATAAAATACACACATCCACAGGGGGAGACCTGTATGATGAAACATTCAAAAGGGGTTTGCAAATGACTCCATCAACCTATAGGCTGGATTATCATAGTGAATAACCTGCTGACTGGAGCAGAAATGCCGGAAGCCAGCTCCCGCTCATCTGTTCCGTGGGCAGACACTGTCCCTTTATCTCAAATACACCTGCCGTGGGCTGCAGGAGGGAATGTTGAGCTGCCAGGAACGAAAACAACCCCATCTGGGGTTCTGGAACATGTTCTTTGTATTCAAAGGATGCTGTACTGTTTGACGTTACAAGAAATTGAATAACAGAATATTTGAAAAATACTCAACGACAGGAGTATTTTCACATGGGTCTTGTCTGTAAAATAACACAACTGACATTTTCCCGTGCAGGGCAAATGCTCCCACCCAAAGAAGCAAGAGGTGAAAGTACAGTGCGCAAAGGGAGATGCGGTAATTCAGGAGATTGGTCTCAACAGACTTGAATGAATCTGCAGCCCGAGAGGCAGGGCCAGGGACAAACCCCAACCTAGGCAGCAAAGTCACTGACCCCAAGAGTTAGGCAGGGCAGGAGTGTGTGGGCAGGTCCAAAGCCACAGTACAGAAAACGGGAGTTCTAGTTACAGAGAACCTGGGAGAGCACAGAAGGAGGATTCAGCAGAGTTCCACTACAACACAGCTAGAGACCCCTCACCCAGGATGCCACAGCCTTTTGTGGGCAAGGTGGGCAATGTGAAGAGAGGACAGCTGACAACCTTCATCTCCAAAGATGTTCCTTTAGAAGACCAAACACTTAGCCCCACGGTGTCTTCACTAGGCATAGTCAGAACACTGTTAGATTTCCTCTTTGGAAAACTCCCCCAGAACCAGTTTAGGAGCCAAAATTGCTATTATCTCGCTTAACGATCTACATACTTTTGACAACTATCAAATCCACCCCACATAATAAATATCTGCCTTCATTATAGATACTGAAAAGCATGTGCTTACTGCCGGCTCTGAAGGAGAATTCAAAGAACTCCAAAATATTTTAACCCATTACAGCATCAGTTGCATACATTAATAGCCTTGCAAAGTAAGCTGTTTTAAGGAAAAAACACTCTTTATGAAGAGTTAATTCCAGTAACGCTGTGTAAAAAACAGCCAGGTATAAAGACAAAAAAATGTATCTGTTTATAACCAAATATCCCAAACAGACACTTTGCAAGTGAACAAAATTCTTATCCTAAACAAGAATCAATCAAAATCTAGTATTTCTCGATCACTGTTGTACCCCACGGCACTGCTAATCCAACAACAGATCACAGGCGGAACAGAGCCTGATGGTTTTATTGAAGTTCAAGCTTTGAAGTCAACCAGGCCACGGTTCAAATTCTCACCGCTTACTAAATGTGTGATGGAGAAAAGGTACGGAACCTGACTTCCACATTCTCATCTATAAAATGGGAATCATAATACGCATGGACTTGGGGAAGGTTAACTGAGATTATACAAGCCCATTGAGCAAGTGAGTGTGGTGCTTATGACACAGCAAAATCCCTCAGAGTAAATGCCGTTATCACTTTACACACGGCTAGTACAAAGTCCTGTGTGTGTTAGGAGGAGACAACAAAGTTAATACAGCCGACTGGCACCAGGGATCGCCACTACCTGTCATGAACTTGTAATACTCCCAGTGTCTGACAAAGCAGACAGGATTGAGCAAACAAGTTCAAGGCCAAGAGGCACCCACTGTACACAGGCAGTGCTGGCAGCCAGGTGCCACCGCAAATGCTTTGATTTAACCCAAACCGGCCTGAGACATGACAAACTGGCTTCACTGGCCCTGTGTCTGCGGGCAGGAGGTCCCCGGGAAGCAGGAGACAGGCCATGATTCCCCCTTTATGTCCCAAAGAGTCGCCTTCCTTGAAACTAGCCAGAGTAGCTCCGGGGTCACAGCGGTGACCGCATGGCAGCTGGGATGAAGTGACCGGCCGAGACTCGGGGTGGGTCCATCGGAACACAGGGTTGCAGGAGCTGAGGCTGTGTGCGCAGCTGAGGCTGACAAGCACATGTCAAAATGCAGACCTGCTTTTCTGGACGGGGAGGTAACTTGAAGAAGTGCTGAGAATTCCCTCGGCTTGCCAGCGGGGCGGATCAGTAGGGCTGGGTGTCCTCCGTCAAAGGCCCTGAGATTTCAGCCCCTGGAGCTGGAAAGCATGATTCCTTTCTCTCTCCTTATTTCATTCTTTTTTTTTTTTTTAATCTTTTTCTTTTTTTTGTCTTTGAGAAAGTGTGTGTGTGTGTGCGTGCTTTTTTTGTATTTTATCTCTCTGCCCTATTTCAAAACAGGCACCTCCTCTAAGAAAGAATGTGACTTCTCTGTCTTGTGGCAGAACTGGAACAAAAGCCCAGCTCCTAAACAAGGGAGGGGTCTTTGGGAAAGCTAATTCACATCTGAGATTTTGTTCCCTAATCTAGAAACCATGGACCATAATACCAGCCCTGCCCACCTCACGGGTCAGCTGTGAAGACGTAACAATAATGCAGACTTCCATTTCTAGGATACTTTACAGTTTTCCAAGTGTGTTTTCATGCTCTCTTCATGAGTCCCCAAAGGATAGCAATGATATCTATAACCGTATTATTTCCCCTTGTCAATTTTCTCTTAGCACAGGGCCAGCCAAAAACCACAAGACAATATCAACGTTCTAGTTCAAAACAGGAAACCTAGCAGTCTGTCAATAAAGGAGAGTCAGCAGACCCAGGATGCTACTTAATCCTGCTGAGATAAAGAGGGCTCTTCTTAAAGGGACTATTCTTCTGGGGAGTACCCAGATCCCCCTCCTCTAGAATCAACAGTACGGTTGGGAGATAAACAAGGGGCAAGGGCAGTGCAGTAAGGAAGAAGGTATCCTACTGAATAGTCTCGGACCCCAGGACCACCCAGTCAGAGCCTTGCAGCAGTCCTTGAAGCCTCAGCCCACAGTCTTTCATACACCCATTCTCTACACCTACCAGCAACACTCCCCACCCCCATCCCTTCTTCTTTCAACAAGTATGAATTGAGCAGCTACTGAGTGCTGGTCATTGGTAAGATTACTGAGCAAAAACAAAGACAGAATCTCCTTCTTCATGGGGTTTAGAATTTCACAGTGGGGACAAGCGAATTAAGTCATCATATAACTAGATCTCACATTGCGAGGGAAGTAGGGCTCAATGAGCAACTGGTCATCTGAGCAACCAGAGAAGACGGGACTCCTGTCGGAAGCTATGCACCCAGCACAGCATCACTCCCTGTCAGGGTGCCAAGCGGGGATTAAGTGCACACTGAGCCTCTCCAGCTGCAACAGAAGCCACACCACCCATCAGTCAGGGGCCAAAAGCAGGAGGAGGGTGTAATTTACCCACCGAGCACCAGCGTTCCAGGCAGGCAAAAACGTGCTGTCTTCCAGCTGTTTGTGTATCATTAGAAAAGAAATTAAGATGTCATAGGAAGAAATTAAATAATGCACATGTTGTCATGACAGGCTGCCAGATCCTGCTTGATCAGAGACTGCCCACACCCAGCCCCTTGCAAGAGATCAGCTCGACAGAGATTAAGGAGGAGATGCTGCCTTACCGGTTGTTTTCCCCCGGTAGAAAATCTTCAGGTCCATGGGCCCCGTGAGCCGGTTCGCCAGAATCGCCATCTCAGACCCACTGTATTTGGAAGCTCGGAATATGCTGAGCTGTGACCAGTCGTCCCAGTAGATGTCATTCTAAAAAGAAAACCTTTGTTCGTCAGTCAGCTCTTCTGTCTTTTTTTCTGGACCCTCACTCAGACCAAGAGCTCCATCGTGCAGTGGACACCTACCATTCACTGGCTGAATGATCAGCCTGATCAAGACCTGACTTAAATGCAAGAGTCAGTGATTTTATCCAAACCTCACCAAGCATCCACACTGAAGGAACCACCCCAAAGAAACTATCCGATAAGCATCCGGTAAGTTTGACCACAAGTTGAACCCTTCCGTAGAAAATCTGAACAACCATTTTGTGTTCTAGAGTCGAAGCACAAGTGACAGGCCACCTCCAGGAGGCAGAGGTGGGACAGGGCTCATCTCAAGACATCAGGGAATGAAGAGAGCAAACCTCACAAGAGACCAAGACACAGAGCCAGGGACTTCCCTGGGGATGCAGTGGTTAAGAATCTGCCTGCCAATGCAGGGGACAGGGGTTCGATCCCTGGTCCAGGAAGATCCCACGTGCTGTGTAGCAACTAAGCCCACATGCCGCAACTACTGAGCCCACGTGCTGCAACTACTGAAGCCCGCACACCTACAGCCCATGTTCTGCAACAAGAGAAGTCACCGCAATGAGAAGCCCGCGCACCGCAATGACGAGTAGCCCCTGCTCACTGCAACTAGAGAAAGCCCGCACGCAGCAACGAAGACCCAATGCAGCCAAAAAATAAAAAATTTTAAAAAAAGACACAGAGGGCTTCCCTGGTGGCGCAGTGGTTGAGAGCCCGCCCGCCGATGCAGGGAACACGGGTTCGTGCCCCCATCCGGGAAGATCCCACATGCCGCGGAGCGGCTGGGCCCGTGAGACATGGCTGCTGAGCCTGCACGTCCGGAGCCTGTGCTCCACAACGGGAGAGGCCACAACAGTGAGAGGCCCGCGTATCACAGAAAAAAAAAAAAAAGACACAGAGCCAAAATGAGGCTACCGCTACTGAAAGGCAAGCCAGGACTTTTCATGGGATGCAAGCTCAAACTTTTGAAAGGTGAACAGTGAGCATCCTGGATCCCTGGCAGCTCTGTCTGGCATCCCTCCCTATGGGCAGAAAGACAGTGCCTCCAATTCAGAAATGAGCTGAGTTTCTAGGTTAGATAAGCATCTCTGCAAAAACCCAGAGACAGCAGGCTCTGCACCTCAGTCTGCTCCTCACAGACACTGACAGGTTGCCCAATGCTGGAACAGGTGAGGCCCCACCTTAAAGACAGCAATGGCGTAGGGGTGTGGGAGGTTGTCCAGGATGACGGAGCGCTGCTGGCCGCTGAAGGTGATCCGCTCGATGCAGTCCAGGTAGGCATCCGTCCAGTAGATCCACCGCTCGTCCACGGTGATGCCATTGGGCCACTTCACGTCCTCCGACACAAGACGATAGGCAGCCGAACCATCCATGTTGCTCCGGTAAATGCCAGGCCTCAGGTCCCCCCAGTCGGTCCAGAACATCACCCTGGCCAAAACCGGGGAAGAGCACACATCCCATCAGAACTGGGGAAATGGGAGCTCAAAAACTGCTCCGAAGAGACAAGCATTCAGCCAGTTAGTTCAGCACTGTTATTATAATCTCTAATTCTAACAGGTAAAGCCACTTAATTACTTGACCCACAAATTCTTTTATTGGAATTTATCTATGGTATCATCAAGTTATGCAAAGACAATGTACAAAGATATTCATCACAGCATTGTTCATACTAGCCAAAAAAATATATATAGGTGTGTATACACATATATATTTAGGTGTATATACACGTATACACACAAAAATGTTAATCTATAAAGTGATACATTATGGTACACACAAAAGAATATTATGATGTCTAAAGATCTACATGTGCTCACATAAAACAATCTTCAAACCATATTAAATATTTTTAAAACATGCAGAATAGTAAATATTCTATAATCCTTTCTGATACGCGTGTGTGTGTGTGTGTCTGTGTGTGTCTGCGTGTGTATGTCTGTGTGTCTGTGTTTAAAGGGCATACACGTCTACACGGGTAAAAATAAACTCTGAATGATAACTCTTAACCAAGAAACTGTTAACAATGATTACCCCTAGGAAATGTGAGGGTGAAGAGTTAAGAGAATGGAGGAAACAAATATTTTTCATTTCATAAACTTCTACTCTCTTTTAATATTTTTAATCAAATGCGTATCTTATTTTCAGAATTTTCTTTAAAAATCGATCTAATTCTCAATCATAAATGCTACAAAGCCTCATCCAGAATTTCCCTTATAGCTCTGTTTCCTTAAGTTAATAATAAATTAATAAAAAGCACCTCTGCATTTCCCCAGTGCATACAAATTGCTGGTAAGAAAACACAAGCTGGGGGGCAGAGAAAAGAAGCAAGGGGTTAAATGTGTGTATCACACGTTAAACTCAAGATAAAGACTCCATATCCAACTATGTGGGCCTGACTATGTCCAGAGAGACTTTTAATACTACCTTTTGTTAGAGAAACACCCCACAGCTGTGAGACATCTGGGTGCCTACAGAGATTCTGATGCTTGCTAATGGAAAGGGGATGGAGTTAGCTGCCCAGGATGACTAAGTCATGGTTCCAAGACTTGCAGGTCATAGATTATTTCAACCACAATCGTTAGAAACAAGTTTCTGTCCAGCAGTTTGCCTTTCCATGAGAATCTGTCTGTTGCAGCATTGGACACACACAGATTTCCTTTGGGACCACACTTACCCGTCTTGGGGCACGAGGACCAGAGCCCTGGGCCGGTCAAGCACTGAGGAATTGACAATCGTGAGTCGGAAGTCGCCGTCTGGATTCCCCACCTGACAAAGGAGGGGAAAAGGCCAAGATGGGTCTGAGCTCCTTCAACATTGCAAAGTTTCCTACTTGGCTCCCTCCTACAGATGGGTGCCTTTATGGCCGCCTGATTCCCCTACAGACTGATCTGGAAACCTGCCCTGACCTCCAGCCAGAATGAGTTCTTCCCTCCTCTGGCTCAGGTGACAATTCTCACACAGTCTGACAGCGGAGCCAGCGCCACCAGTTCTGGGGGCTTGATGACCTGCACGAAGTAAGTGCTCACTGTGTGTTTACTAACTCCCCCCGCCTCCGCTGCTCCAAGCTCCAAAGCCACCCATGGCTCTGCTTTGTCCACAAAACAAATGCTCAACGTCACCGCCTTGCCGTTTAAGAGCCTCCACAGACTGCTCTCTCCACATTCTCTCCTCCACACAGGCTCCTACAACTTCAGGGAGGCTGGTCTTCTCATGGTTCCCCAAGCCTGACATACCTGCTCCCGTCTGCTCCCACCAGATCCACCCCCAGGCCCACCGGCTCTGCTGACCCTTCTGAGCCGCCTTGATCCAGGGGCAGCCACTCTTGCACCATTTCACACACCGTATTTCAGTTGTACACTGTGGACGCGTGTGGACACTGAAGCTTTACCTGCACCCTTCTAGCAGAGCGCTGACCACACTCAATTAAAAAAAGGAGCGGAAGAGTAATAAGAAGACCACCGACGCACTGCTCAGTGTGTGCCCGGCGCTGTGTATCTTTCCATTCCGTTCTCTCAACCGCCCTGTGAGGGGAACACTCCAGTGATCCCCTCCTCGATCAGGGCTCAGCTCAGATGTCCCTTCCAAGACACTTCCTCTCCACAGTCACACAGTCACATTGCCCCATTTGATGTTCTTTGCAGCACGTGGCACCAATAGGACGGATGGACTTATTTCTTCATTATTTTGCTTGCTCTACTAAAACCTAATCTCTCTCAGCACAGGGACCTGTGTGTCTTGCCTCCTGCTGTATCATCATGACCTAAAACCATACCTGGCACGAAGTGTGCCCGAAAACAGCACTTGTCAAATGACTGAATGGATAAAGGAATCCTCACCTTACAGATGAAGAAACTGAAGCTTAGAGGGGATGAGAAACTTGCCCGAGTCACTTAGCTACTAGAATAAAGACTGAAACCCAGGGCTTCCCTGGTGGCGCAGTGGTTGAGAGTCCGCCTGCCGATGCAGGGGACACGGGTTCGTGCCCCGGTCCGGGAAGATCCCACATGCCGCGGAGCGGCTGGGCCCGTGAGCCATGGCCACTGAGCCTGCGCGTCCAGAGCCTGTGCTCCGCAATGGAAGAGGCCATAACAGTGAGAGGCCCGCGTACCGCAAAAAAAAAAGACTGAACCCAGGTCCATCTCTCGAGTTTGTGGCTTTTGTCATGTAACTTCCCCCAACTCTCTGGGTCTCTCTGCTTCTACTGTGCCTTCCAGTAAACCACAAGTCATGTCTCCCTAGTGAAATCAGTATAAAGAGGTGCGGAGGCAGCGCCCCACTGCCTCAGCAGGAACATGCAGGGGTTGAGCATATGCCTAGGAGACCATGACTTCTTACCCTCCCAGTGCCCTGCGGAGCTCAGGTGCAGACAGGTGAAGTGAGGATACGAGAGCACCTACCTTACAGGGTGGCTGTGAGAAGTGAATCAAATAATTCATGCAAAGTGGTTCCAACAGGGTATCTCATCATTAATAACAATGATATTATGATAATAATCACGATATTATCTTCATTATGCTAATTGACAGCATAATACTCGAGTGTGGCTGTTACGGCATTGTAAGAACGCGACGGTATCATTATCATCATTGCTGTTACTACTCTATGCTTCTGCTAGCCCAAAAGTAAGTATTCAGGTATCTTAATGAAATCTCTGTTTAACAGATTCAGGCACCCTGTTCGCACACGGGACCTCCATTCTCTGCATTTCTCAGGGAATCTCCAGAGGAATGAGACACACTGGCTCCTGCTTCTGTGTCAACTCTGGCTCCCAGCCCAGGGGCTCCCCTGCTTGCATAATTAAGGACATACCTCAATCTTTTTGAAGCCAGAATCCACCCAGTAAAGTAACTGGCTGAGGGGTTCAAAAGCCAAGGCTTCCACTGTCTCCAGGCCAGAACTGACGATCACCTCTTGCCCTGCACTCCCGTTCAAACAGAGGCGCTGATGAGAAAGAAAGAAAGAAGAAACGGTGTGAAATGTTCAAACGACCTCCAGCCAAATCAGCCCCTTCGATGGGAAGCCACTTATTCAATTGGCCTGAAGGGGGAGGGCGGAGATGTTTTATATTCATAAGTGTTCCAGATGCATGAAGCTGGTTTTTGATAAAAGCATTTCTAAAATGGATCATGGCTTCCTGTTTGAAGCAGAATAACTGAACAGAACTGAATCTTTTCTATCACCTTGCATTATCATCATGAACACCGGTCACTGAGCTGTGCTGTATCACAATAATGAGGTGGAGATGACCAAAATGCATAAGTCTGTCTGCTTTTAAAATAAACGAAACCAGACTGCTGTTATTTTTTAAATCCTGTGTCTGCTTTTTATAAAAAGTCTTTCCTCCCTCGGGAGGCTCCTAGCCATCAGGTGCTATCGCTGGGACAGTAACGGGCAGTAGTCACTGCCACCCCCCACCAAACCCTTCGGATACCCGGGCCCTGTAAAATTTCTGTTGGGTTGGAAGTCCAGATAAAACTTGCTGGAATTGCTTTTCTAAAAGGATTAAATAAGCAATGACTAAATATCAAATAGCTCTCCTTTAAAATGCATGGGTCTGAGTGTATGGCCATCTATCTGGCCTGCATGGCGACCTTCACAGCTTACTTCCTGGTTCTTGACCGTGCTCAGAATAGCTGAAATGGATAATTACGTGAACTATGGAGAAGTCAAGTGTTACTATATCACAGCTTGGAAACAAGGATGCTAACGAGGCAGTGCGTACGATAGGGAGGGACTAATAGTGCTACACTCCGAATCCTAAACTCTGTCCAGCAGGTAAAGGGAGACCTCACTTAGAAGCAATACCACAGACGGGCGGCTCCCTCTGTCCTTCCTACAAGGACAGAGGTAGGTAGGGAAAGAACGTACTAAAACAGAAAACTGAAAAGTGTCCTCCGTTGGCCCTGAGAGGAGTTACAACTTAAAAACCTCCAATACCCATCTCCTCGGGCCACTCTGCAAGAAGCTTACCAGGACTGGGCAGTCACGAGGCACAGCCCCCGCGAGCAGACCCAGAGTGGACGCACCTGGATGATGTCCAAGGCCAGGTCGGACCAATACAAGCAGTTGCGGTCATAGTCGAAGTCCAGGGCCACCGCTGCCCGCAGCCCGGTGAGAGGCAACTGCTCGGTGGCTCCGGAGGTCAAGTCGTAGCGGTGGATGGACTTGCGCATGGCGTACAGGATGAACTCGTTCTCCTCTGCACAGACACACAAAGACGACAGGGGGCTGGACCTGGGGATGCTGAACGGGTCCTCGCACGTCTGACCCTCTTTTTTCTCACCCATAAACCTCAGAGCCACTGCACATGGCGTGGGTCAAGTGAGAACGTAGGAATCCAGACGTAGAAGGTGGGTGAAGGAATCACATTTCTGCCTTGGGCAAGTTTCTTAAACTCCCGTGAATCTCTGTTTCCTCTGCAAAGTGTCTACTTGCTACATTTTTTAAAAATCTAGATTCCCTCCGGTAGTCATGCTCCAATAGCTATTCTTCAGAGCTCAGCCCAAAAGTTTTGGTCACACTTGACAAAATAATTACACCAATCAGCACGTTCCTCCTTGTCACAGGACTGCATCACGTGGCATCGTAATCCTGTTGACTAAAGACCCCAAGTCGCTGAAGACTTACAGCTAAGTTTCCTAATCTATTTACTCACCCATTCAATATTGTTCACAATGACACAGAGCAATTATATCACCCTACTATATTTTCAAAGCAATAATACATCCTTGGCCACCTACAAAACGTTTTACAACACAATCATCACAAAGATTCTATTTCTACTTAAATACTACACAACGTACACACTATGTACCAGGCATTGTCTGATCCTAGTAACAACTGTATAAAGGAAGAACTACTATTAGCTTGATTTTACAAATGAGAAAACTGAGAGCAAAGAGGTTAAGTAACCCACTCAAGGTCACACAACCAGTAAGGGGCAGAACAAAGACTTGAACTCGGATGGTCTGGATCCAGAGTCTATGTTTTAGCACCCAATGGTGTAACACCGATGGTGCCATTTTTCAAGACATAGAAATAGAAGCCCAGGGTGCTTACGAGACTGACTTAACATCAGACAACTAGGAACGGGAAGAGCTGGTGCTCTGTCTCTTCCACTCAGGGAACAGCCTGGAAAACATCCAGATTCTTCCAAGGGAATGGAGATGAGCAACACACCTGCAACCATACCTGAGGCATCCGTTGTGACAATATGTTACATCTGGGACCAAGCTGCAAATCTGGATCCCTCTGCTGCATGCCTGCACGGTGACTGTGGTTGTTTGCTCTCTCTCATCCCATTCATTCAACGAGTTAACATGTCCTAGCCACCTCTGCTTTATAAAGGCTTCAATATAGATAATGCACCCCCAAAATGTAAGTCTACCTACTATTTTTTACCAAAGGTAAATTTGCCTTCTTTTCCTTCAGTATTACTTCACTTCAAAAGTATCTAAGCCACCACCACGTGATAACAAACCCCTCCCTTTGGTTTGCAAGAAAACCTTCCCACTGTAATTCCCAGGGGACGGAATAGTCAAGATGAAAAGTGCCGAGCGTTGGAATCAAGGATTCTCACGGCAGCTGCCACGTGGAGATGCGGAGACACATTCACAGCAGCAAGCCCTTCACCCCACATCTCTCTACCATCTAGAAACCTCATTCTGTTGCTCTGGGTTTGTTTTTTTTTTTCCTTCTAACCAACTACTGCCTTTTGAGTAGAGTCTGAGTCCTGAAACACCTGCCTTAGGATTGGGTGTAGAGGAACAGACAGGATTTTGTGTGCAATTCTTAACTTAGAAAAGAAATAGAATTCTCGGTAAATCCCAGCCATACATGAGCCCAGCCTAGAGATGTGCGTTATTATCCTAATCTCAAAGGAAGAAAAATTACTTCACTTTTAAAAATCCTTCCAAACGACCAGATTACCTCATCTTTGCAAACATATGACGGTTCCACATTAGTCCTATAAAACCATCTTTTCCTTTCTTGGTACATCCCTGCCTTCTATTCCATGCTTTACCAAAAAAAAAAAAAACATTTAGGAGGTGGTCTACACTACAAATGAGACTTTTCCACTTCATTCCCTATTCTATCTTCTCCTATCAGAAGAGAAAATAGCTTTCCTACCAGTTTAGACAGTTTTAAACAAACTGTTTTGCCCCTCGCTGAATTACCTTCAGAAATATTTATTACCAAAGTACCTACTCCAGCCCCTTAAGAGCGATCACTCAAACCCTGCTCACCCAAGCCCTCATCAATAACAGCTCTCGTGAGGGGACTGTTTGAATATTATCTGCTCATTTGTGGGAATCTGCGGAAGCCATGTTCTTTTGAAGTCTCCACAGTGAGGGATGTTAATTACTCAGTAATGATGGAAGATTAAATTAAGGGACTAATGAGCTTAGCATGAAAAACACCAGGGCAAACTGGCGAGCAGCGAGCCAAGGGGAGGGCTGCTCTTCCCTGCCCGCGGAGGACGAGGCTGTTCGCTCAGGCTTCCTTTGGCGCTGATGTCTGTTCCATCAGACGCCACCACCACCAGTGGAGCCAGCTCCAGTCACGCACCTTCCCCGAGAGGCATGAGCAGGAGGGAGGGCTCAGAGGGAAGAGAAGCCCTACATGAAAAAGACTAGAAACGGAGCAAAGAAAGGAAAGATGCTAAGAGATTAGCTCTTTGCTAAGGTATCATAATTTCACGTCTATATTACAAATACCTCCACATCTGCTATCACCACCAAATCAACTTGAAATGTTTGGAACACATTATACCTTTATAGCATGTGCACTTGCTGCAAAAGTTTCCCCCAATGAGCGTGCACGTGATCACCTCAAAGAATGGGAATGACACTCACGTGCCACTTGAGTGATGGCCAAGCAAGAGCATGAGGCTTAGAGTCTGAATTCTAGCTCTGTCACTCACCAGACGTGTGACCTCAAATAAATTGTTTAACTCTCTCCTCTGAACACACTTCCTCATATTAAAAAAAAAAAAAAAAAAAATGGAGCTAATAATAATATCTGCTTCACTGCTTCTAAGGACTAAACTGATAACGCATGGAAAAGTACATTAAAATGTGTAAAATTCCATTAAAATATTAGTCATAATTATTGTTATAAAAATTAAGATAGATCACTTAGCTATTTCCCAGAAAGCCATGAGTCTCTTTCTATGACAAACAAACGGATCACGGAACACACAGAAGGCCTAAGGGTGCCCTCGGCCCCCCACGCCTAGAATACAACAGATGCCAAATAAATATTTTTCAACGAACAAAAGGGATTTCCCTCCAAAAATGTCTTCCATTCCTATAAAAACATAAGGTTATAAATAAATGTTGTTTGGATACCATGCTTAGGGGGAAATGAGAGCTCTGAGATACCCATCCTTTCTCTCCAGGAAGTTTGAAGAGCCAGGTGAGATCACGGGAATGCTTCAACAATGTCTCGACAAGACAAAGGGAAGAAACCACGTCTCACCTGCCAAAGGACACGGCACCAGCTCTCCTTCCAGGCGTACTTCAACATCTCCTCCACTGCAGGTGTCCCCAGAAATCTTCCGATAGCTGTCACCCCCACCCAAGAGTAAGAGGTCAGAAACATCAAAGAATAGTCATAAAGGGACATTTACCCATCCATGGACAATACAGCTTATCTATTCATCTTCCTATACAGCAAGAAGAAGGAATTGAATCATTCTGAATTGCTTCTGCCTGTAAATAAATGAGGCAGCACAGACAATTTGGAGCACTGTCCCAGGCGAGAGTTTCACATATACCGTTGACCCTTGAACAGCTCCAGGGTTAGGGGCACTGACCAACCCCCCACCACTATAGGTAAAAATCCATGTAGTACTGTTACCTCCACCTCAAAATCAAAGGAATTCATAAATGACTCACCCAAAGGCAGGAACTCAAATAGTCTGAGTAGAATCAGGATTAGAACCCTAGTTCTTTTGATTCTACGTACCGTGATCTCTCATCGAACACAAACTTTCTCCCACCTTAACTTAAAAGTACAGTGAAAATACAGGTATTATATTTACTGAAGAAACTCCACATGTAAGTGGACCTTATATGCATTTCAAATGTGTATTGTTCAAGCGTCAACTGTATCTCTTCAACACAATGCTCTGAAGACGTGCACTGGCTGAAGTTTATGACTTAAGAAATAACTGGAGTTGCAGAAACGCTTACAGACTTGCATTTTTTTCCACGGGGGGCTAGGGTGGGGAGACGAGTTTGCAAACATCACAGTTTTAAATATTCCCCAAGCTACCTGAAACCTGCTACCTTGGAATTCTGGCATTTAGAGTATGAAAGGAACCCAGGTGGTCCTCTGCGCTCTCCATACCAAGTGCAGACCCGCCGTGCCCCAGACATGGCAACCTCTGTGAGACGTACCCTCTGGTTCTCCTGTAAGCAGAACCCACAGGACAAGGCACGGGAGGGGAGTGCGACTTCCCAGAAAACTCAGGATCCGGAACACAAACCTCTAATAACAAATCTTCACTCATCTTGAAGCCAAAGTCACTGAAAAGGCAATTGGGGCTCGGTAAGGCCGCTGGTTGACACACTTCAGGTATTTTGGGACCCTCCCTTGCGACATCCACCCTACTGCCCACCACCTGTATTGTAAGTTACTCAACATGTCCCTTTAACGAATACTCACTATTTTACACTAACGCATTTTCAGAAGAAACTTTATAACAGAGCCGTAATTGGAAAACCATTATCATATGCCATAAATAGACAGAAACGAGACAGATCATGATGCCAAAGACAAAATAATACTGACTTTTTTTAGCTGGACCCAGTTCCCTGTCCAGAGACTCTGGGCCTGCCCTCTCTTTGTTAAAAGCAATTGGCAAATGTGAAGAATTACTAGCACCCAGTGAGACTTTCACCTTGACGTGACTAGAAGGATTAAAAGAGAAATTTAAAGGAACCGTCCTTTTTCTAAACTAAGGATTCAATGTTATTTAAGAGCATGTCCACCTTCTCCCTAAAATCACCGTGGGGGCCTCCTCGTGCACTTCGGGACCCAGACCTTCTGCAATTTGGGGACCACATCTCTTCCACACTGGCCAGCTAGCCAGGCAGAGCCCTGGGGTAGGAAGCAGGGGTCCCAGGTCTAGTCTTGGCCCTGCCCTTGTCTGCGTGAGTGGACGGCTCTAAAACGAGGCAGCTGTACTTGCCAAGGTCTGGCCCAAACCATAAACTCGTGATCCAACGGGACTTTCCTTGTCGATGTGCTTTACCCAAAAGCCTTCATTTACTCTATCAACTATAACACCTACTGCAGGAAAAGTATTAACAGGTACAGGGCAAAGTGGTTCGTGTACATATTACATGACAGTCCACATTTAGCACCCTGTAGAGCATTTTTCAGAAGGGAGCAGTTTTATTACTGTACCAAACACGTTCCATTCATTAAATCCGGTAAATTTCTACGGAATGGCTGCTTTAAACCTTTTGGGGGACTAAGCAGAGCATTAATTACTCCAATGGCAAAGTACTCTGCTTGGGCAGTTTTTTCAAACTATGGGTCATGACCTAGTGGGCTGTGAAAGCATATTGGAGGGTCCAGACCTGCTTCCTCCCCCACTCACAAAGAAACTGCAAAATTCATGGCACTTGAAAGTAAATCTTACCTCATAAAACTTCTGTTTACATAGATGTGTGTACGTGTCTACATACACAAATATGTGTAGGTACAGGATCACACTATAAAATACATTGCTTACTAGGAGTTGCAGTCAAGAGTTTGAAAACCACTCTTATTGGCAACCTGGGGGAATATAAAGATGTAAAAGAAACTACTCCTGAAATCAGGGAACATACAGGCTAGTAACTGTGCTTCCCAGGGAGGCCCGAAAGGACTGTTGGAAGTAAGTACAGCTGTCCCTCAGGAGCAGGACCAATGGACAGACACTGGGAGCTCGCCGATTCTCACTTCCTCTCTTCATGTCCATGTCCAGACCCTGCCCTCCCCACTGCCACAGGTCAGTGCCACCAAACCTTTCCAAGAGCCATGCAGTCAGGCTGGTTCCTTTCTAGAAGCTACAGCAAACAGGGGAACCACAGGATGCCCTGAAACACACCCTTCACCGTTTGCATGGTCATCACCCCACAATCCCATCTGGCCCAAAGCCCAAGAGGGGCGGGGCAGGCTGTTTCCTGGTCTCAGCCTCCAGTGGCTTTTAGCTGAGTGGGTGTGGTGGACCCATGGGGGCCAGGCACCTGGCTTTTGCTTTTGGTTGTTGCTATTGCTGTTTTGGGGGGATTTTAGAGAAAAACAATGATGATTTTAGAGAAAAAGCATAATAGTGTTCATCAAAAAAAAAAATCAAGATTTGTCAGATTTTCTCACATATTCTTCATTTTGTCTTATTTTCAAGTATTTAATGGGGATAAAAGAGGGAGGAGAGAGGGCTCGTAATCTTTTCCATGATCAGGGTCCCCAAAGTCTCAATCCAGTCGGCAGGGATACCTCAGACCAGCAAAATCCCTCCGACTGGCATTACCATTTAGGGTTCTCTCAGGGAGGGCAGAAGGCAGCAGAGGGGCACTGAGCGGACATCACTGGGAACATTGAACAGCTCTGTGCTTCTGCCATGAAAGCGTCTACGTTGTTATCTTAGGACCACACGGCTTTCGGAGAGGATGCTCGTCTTTGGCTGTCTAAAGCCCTTCTGCTCTGAGGGTAGCTCTGCAGAGAAGCAGCCTCGGGGTCACCTGGAGCCTGGGCGACGGCAGGGCCCCAGGACAACCAAGTCAGGACTTGCATTTTAATGAGATCCAAGATGATTCACATGCACCTTCAAGTTTCCGAAGCACTGGTCTAGGACCGGAACTGCCTGAATCTGGTTGGCTGTTCTGTAAATAAAGCTTTATCGGGTCGCGGCCACGCCCATTCATCTAGGCGGCAATCTCAATACACAGGCAGAGCTGAGTAGCTGCAACGGAGACCACATGGCCTGCGAGGCCTAAAACGTTTACTCTGTGGCCCTGTTCCCACCTCTGGACTAGAACACATCCAAGGTTTCCGGCTTTAGTCAAGATAAGTGTGCTTCCCAAAGCAACCTTTGGTTTCTTTATGCTTCGGCAACCACTGAAAAATGAGTTATGTGCTTACGATCAGTACCCGCGCTCTACCGAGAGCCCTGCAAACCTGGAATGATTTCATGCTGGATCACAGACTTGGGGGATCGTCTACGGGCTCTGAGACCCTATGTCTCTACTGCTAGCATCATCTTCCTAAAGCTAAGCTCTGTTCTGGTCATCAACTCTCCTCAAAAGCCTCCAAAGACATCCTCCTGCTTACAGAATATGGTCCACGCCCAAGTCTCCACCCCACCGTAGTCTCTCTCTTTTCAGCCTCATCTCCACTCACTGACCCCCAGTCATACATCCAACAAGACATCCACACTAAACCACCAACTACACTTTCCTGTTTCCACACCTTCACGCTGCTGCTGCGTCTTCCCAGAACGCTCCAGTCACGTACCCTGATGCTTCCTCCTTAAAGCCCATCTCAAACAGTGTTGCCTCCAGAGATTTCCTGATTCCCCAGCAGCAAATCCCAGTCTCCTCTTTCCTATCAATAATCCCAGCAAAAGCACCCGTTCTTCCTCCAAGGTACCTGCATCTCCCCGTCTCCTGTTACAATGATTGGCGTGCACGTCATTTCTTCCACAATGTCAAGCAGCGCCTTGGATATTTTACTCAAAGACCCATGAATATACAAATATATATACATATAAAAAACACTAACGCCCCCTCGTTTCAGATAAAGAAACAAATTCCCTCTGGAATAGGGCTCCTAACCAAAAAGGAGTTGTCTACAATCGAGCCTTCAGCATGTTCCTTTCTTGGGCTGCCCTCGTAGAAACAAATCCCAGAGTGACCTATTCCTGCATAAACCACTGCAACTTGCCTGGGTGTCACACCTCCACCACATCACACGGCTGTAACAACTAAATGGAATAACCTGCATAAACAGTGCCTAGCACGGTTCCGGGCTCCTAAGAGATGCTTAATAAATATTTGTTTCCTATGATTCCCTCCCTTTCTTCAGGGGAAGGGACCATGTCCTAGTCTGTTTCCCACACCGGTGAGTGACCAGAATAGAACTCAGTCCCTGGCATGGATGTAGAACCCACCATTCATAGTCCTGTCGGGTACAGGAGCAGTTGGACAGGACCACCGGCCGATCGAAGTCTTCTCCGTTAAAGCATGTGGCGTGGGGGATCCTTCGTTTGAAAACCGTCTTGTGCCCTAGCAGACACTCGCTGCCCCGCTCATCAGACGGGGACCACAGCTTGTAGTCGTTCTCTGTGCAGGGAACCCCTAAGGAGGAGGAAATACAGCATTCCAGGCAGACCCACGCAGGGTTTCCTGTCCTGCCCGCCCCGCAGCCCAGCCACCCACTTCCCGTACCTCCCGTTACTGCCCAGCGGGTGTGCAGGCCCCCGGAGCCAGCCCGCCCCTCTAATCAGCCGGCTCTGAGGCCGGGCAGCAGCCCCTTGGTGTCCCCTGAAACACGGACGTGCATCTGAGAAAGACGGGAAGAAGCAAGCTTCTTTGGTGCTCACTGTCTACACTTCGGAAAGATTTCAGCAGATTCGGCAGTTTCCTTAGAAACAGGTGCCCAGAGGCGTTTATCTCCAGGGAGTTAGGTAGAGGCTGAATCCCTGAGAGATGGTATCACTCAGGAGTACTGTCCCCTGCCTGCTTCCCGAGGCAGCGTGGACGCATCTGGTAGTATGGCCCACGAGCAAGAGAATTCGCCATCACTGCTCGGAAGGTATGGGATCTTCATGAGAGGAGGCTGAGAACTGGTCAGACAACCTGGACCGTCATTCCATCTACCCACATCCACTCGAAATTTAAGTAGAGTGGTTTCTACAGGAATGCCAAAGTACACCGATGTCTATACTGGTAGTTGACGTCTTTTTCATATGTGTGTCTTTGGTCAGATTAAATGCTGCCTGAAACTGATGAACTACTGTCAACTCAACACCATTCCAATCAGCAAGCATTTATTAAACCCTTACTGACAATAAGGTTATCAGGCCGTCCAGTGGGTAGAATATGACTATGCCCAGGGCAGGTTCTTGTGTCTACAGACCTATGATCTAGTTGATGGGAGAGGACACACCCAGAGGGACAGACACAAATTTGTAATTCAAGGTGTGATGAGTACACGTACGCTAGGGACACAGAGAAGAGGGGAGAGATCTCTTGGTTGGGATTAGCAGTCAAGTGCATTGGATCCTGATCCGTGAGAAGGATTTCAACGAGTGGAAACTGAACCCAAGGGGCATTCCAGGCAGCTGGAATAATGTCAGCCAAAGCAGAGAAGTTGCCGAGGGCAGGGTTACACGGGGGTGAGGAAGGAAGAAGTATGATAAAGAAGTTCACTCTCCCTGCTCGCTTACTTACAGGTCCTGGGTCTGGGCGAGCAGATGGTGATGAGACCCCAGACAGCTCTGAGAGGACCCTGCATCACTAGTAGTAGTTACCCACTGAATTTGCCAAACTGGAACTGCTAATTTGGAAGTATGTTTTCCAAGCATTCATTCATTCACATGTTCAGCACACATATACGTAGACCTGCCCTGTGCCCGTGACCGCACAGGAAATGAGGATACAAAAGACAACATGTGGCCCCATGAACAACTGCCCGAGCACCTGCCTCTGAATCTCTCATTCGCTTACTGCATATGTGCCCGTCTCCTTCAATGGATCACAAACTCTTCCCAGGGCACGGTATCTAAGCTGATGCTTTCAATAGGTATTTCTGTGCAAAGGGCCGAGGAGGCAGCAGCTTACCCAAGGCAGCCGTGGCATTGACCTGGAGGATCAGCCAGCTGTGGATGTTCTCTTTGTTGGAGCCAAAGATGGTGAAGACAGTGCTCTTCTCGCCGGGCTCCGTGAGGAGCCCGTACACAAACACCGGCTTCTCGGAGAAGATGAATGTTTTCCAGGTCTCCCCTTCGTTGGTGCTGTACCTGCCCAAATGCAAGTAAAAGGATCCTTGCGGTTAAAGTCTCCGGGGCAAGAGCTTGGTTTCCAGATAACATTCATCTGTAAGAGGAACCAGGGCTCCTTGGAGAAGTGGCTGATACTGGGCTAAAGCCGGGCAAGTTTAAGGTTGTGCCAGAAAGGGGGGAAGTGCTCACAGACGGATGCCGATGACCCGAAAGGACATGGGAGCCACCTTGATGGGGCTCCAACTGGCCAGTCTGGGAAAATATGAACTTAACAAAGAGAAATGATGGTAACAGATAATACACTGAATGAAAAGAGGCCATGGGTCTCTAAATGATACCAAACAGGAAGAGAAAGGGAGGAGGGAATTTTTTTTTATTATACTACAGTGCTACTTAAAAAATGTTGAAAACAATGACAGAATGAGAAAAGTGACTGTACTATAACCCCCCCACTGTAACAACCGAGTCAGACAAGAGGACCAGAGTGTTCACACGGTCTAAAGATATCAACTCACACTCACTGCAAAGGGGGAAATGTAATTTACAGCGGACAATCTGAGGTTCAACCCTCAACAAACTTAGCATCACTCACAGTGGTTCAACCTGACATCGTGTACCTCCTGGACAAAGCACTGAGGATACCACATCATCTAGGCACTACTATTCCATGCGACTGGACAAATTCAGAATGTGGAACTTTCTACATGACAACTGGTCTGGATTCTTCAAAACATCAAGGCCATGAAAAACCAACCAACCAACCAACAAGAGGCAGAGGGCTTGTTATAGATTGAAAGAGACTAAAGAGGTATAATAACCAAATGCGATATGTAAACGTGGACTGAATCCTGGATTAGAAAAAAAAACCCAACAGCTACAAATAGTAAAGGACAACTGAGAAAATATAATAGTCTATAAGTAATACTGAGTTCATGATCATTTTCTTGGGTGTGATAATGGCATTCTGATTGTGCAGGAAAATACGCTGACTTCCTGGAGATATGTGTATGTTTAAGTATTTAGCTATAAAGGGGCCCAAGAGCTGCAACTTTCTTTCAAATGATTCCCAAAAAACAGGGTGGCTGCACAGATAGATGGCTGGACGGATGGATGGATAGAAAGATGACAGACAGGATAGATGGCAAAAGCAGAGCAAACGGACAAAATGTTAACAATTGGTGATTAAGGGAGCTGTAGGGGATGGTCACATGAGTAATTTTTATACAATTTTTCCAACTTTTCCCATAGTCTTAAAAATTAAAAAGTTGGAGGAAAGTGTGTCCTGAGAAAAGTCTCCAAGACAGATTACATCAGAACGAGAGAGCAAGCCCTTGAGAAAAAAAAAAAAGCAGCACTGAAGTAACTGTACTGATTTCAAATTACCTTTTGTATTGAAGAGGAGAAGGAGAGGAAAGTGTGCCTGGTATTTGCTTCATCACCCAGTAAGCTGGTGAGATGCTCACCATGAGAAACCACTCAATTAAGAGGGGGTTCCTGAGGGTCACAGAGCCACTGGGTCTCTCAAATCCAAATTATATACAAAACTTTTCTTTCACTTTTCCCATGTTTTTGAGATATTAGTTTTACTCACTCAGGATCTTAATACTTGATGTAGTTCTTGTTACAACATCATTCAATCCAAACACCTCCTCTTGTCTTGAGATTACGAAAATTGGTACTTCTGCAAGAAGTGTTATGGGTTAAACCTAGTGGTGGGGCTACAGGGCAATGGGGACTGAGCAATCTCCTCCACAGATCTTCCTAAGAGGAGAAATTCTCTCCTGGCTGATATGCTTTTGGTTTAAGCTATCTCTGAAGCAGGTACGGGGATAAGGGAACTCATTCAATCTCTTTCTTGTAGCAGGGTGATGAGCGAATGGCTTAGTGCCATCTTTAAAGCAAACTGAACCAGCAGAGTCAGCCTATTAACCAGACATGATGGGAGCTATCCGTGTGATAAGGCCGGAAGTCTGCCTATTTGCACATTGCCTAGGTAATTCTACTTAACAGCTCCTCGAACGTGAGATAACCTCAGGAAATGAATCATCCCATTTCTTGAGAAGTTCCCAGCAGACTCTGACCATAACATATTAATGAGACTAAAAAGCAGGTGCATGGCCGAGTACAGCCCTGAACCTAAGAATAAACTGTGCATTTAAAAAACAGTGCTTTTTCAAAATTTTGGAGACACGGTAGTCATATTATCAACTGCAAAAGTTAAGGGAACATCTGTTCTGGACCAAATTCTGACCTCCAGAGGAGAACTTGTGCTGGTGAAGTGAAACTGACAAGAACCTTGCAAGAAAACAGACCAAGCCATCTTTATACGCCTAAGAGTCGTGAAAGAGGACGTAGGGCCCCAGCCCTTAGGAACGGAGAATTTAAAACGTTCAAACGGAAGTACAGACCTAATCTCATGGCCAAAGCTCTCAAGAAGATGGGACTATAATACAATAGTAACATAATATAACCAAAGATACACTAAATAAGTGAAGCAGTGGTAGACACTCAATTTAAAACACAAATGTGTGGCTGGAGAGAAAGGTCCTTGATGAGCTCAGACTTTTAAAAAAAACATATTCAAGATGAGAAAAGAGTCATATTAACCAAGGGCAAAAACTTAAAGAGCAGTAGCAATCTGCTAATTAATCCTAGCTGTCATTCTTACAGCTAGTAATCTGTAGAAACAGTGGCCAAACAACACAAACTCAAAATAAGTCAAGGATTATGCTTCAAATGACCAAAATAATCGGGAGGTTAGTGAGCAGTGAGACGTGGGTTGGTTACCAAGCAAGTCCTATAAAGAATTAGAAATGGAGGGCTTCCCTGGTGGCGCAGTGGTTGAGAATCTGCCTGCCAATGCAGGAGACACGGGTTCGAGCCCTGGTCTGGGAAGATCCCACATGCCGCGGAGCAACTGGGCCCGTGAGCCACAATTACTGAGCCTGCGCCTCTGGAGCCTGTGCTCCGCAGTAAGAGTGGCGGTGATAGTGAGAGGCCCGCGCACCGCGATGAAGAGTGGCCCCCGCTTGCCACAACTAGAGAAAGTCCTCGCACAGAAACGAAGACCCAACACAGCCATAAATAAATAAATAAAGCAAACCGTCAACAAGTAAAAATAAAGAAACACTATTATTAAAAAAAAAAGAATTAGAAATGGAATAGGCTCATCCGTCTGATGGTTAATGGTATAAACAGGAAAGACAGAAAAAGAGGCAGCAGTAGTTAGTCAATTTCTATTTTGGTTTTGTCTTTATTAAAGAGAATGATCTTCAAACTGGACAAAGCAGAAAAAAAAGACGGAAGTTAAAGGAAAATGAATGCAAAATAAAGCACACTCTAGGGAACTGAAAGACTTAAAGGTATAATTGCAGAGCTCCTTTTAATAATCTCTAAAAGAACCACGAGAACAGATAAAGATCTCAAGACTAGATGAGAAAAAGTAGTTTTATTTCCCTTAAGAAGGAAAAGTTGTTTCAAGAATGGAGTATGAAACAGTTGATTGGAGAGCACTTAGACACGAAGGAAGTTGGAGCTGGGAGCTCAAATTGTTTCACACACAAGTCACAATAAATGAATCCCGTTTCCTTTTCTCAGGGTAACTCTTGATTTCAGAATAGGGTAATGATATAGGGCAAAGAAAAATTGTCTTAGGGTTTTTATTAAAAGAAATTGAGTGTCTAGGATCATGCTGGTATCAACGCCAATGTGACGCATGTTTCAGGCTGCTGGGGACAGATCTGGGCTCCTCATCTTAAACCTCTGACATTGTGCGGAGGGCCCAAAGGAGAAAATAGAGGGTGTAGATTCAGGATCCTACAGCACAGGAGGGAAGGAACGGGGGCTGTTTGCCATGGAAGAGGAGATGCTCTGAAGAGGACAGGGAGAGGTCCTCGTGCATCTGAAAGGCTTTCAGGCAGAAGAGAAAGTATCTGTTGGATGTATCTCCTGGAAGCTGAGCCCGCTGCATAGCAACGGGAGGGAGGAGAATTGGGGCTCCTCTGACCTGAGAACTTTCATTCATAAAGGAACGGATGAATAAATACTTAGTGCACGAACAGATGAACAACAAATTGTCTAAAGTGACATGGAAGCTCCCTTTGATTTGGCAAAGTCCCCATCACTAGAGTTATTCAAGCAAAGACTTGAGTGATCATCCTTCACAGATGACAGAGAGAAAATTCCTGCAACGGGCAGTGGAAGACAGAACCAGAGGATGTAATATGTCCAGATCCCTGCTGGGGATCTCCCTGTGGACATACCACAGCCACTTCAGTTCACCTTGTCCACATCTGCACTCATCCTATGGCCCTTCAAGCCAATACCTTTTCCTCTGCTTTTCTATGAGGGATATGATCATCTTGCCCTGTCACCCCTGACACCGTCTAGTCAAAAAGCAGGTCCTGAACACATAGTCCTCAAAATGTTTGGTCCCCACCTAAGCAGCATCTCTCACCTCCAGTCTTGGTCCTTTTAAATTCATGCTCCTCAACTTGCCAGAGCCATCTTTCTACACTAGCCACGTCATTCCCCTATTTTTAAACCCTCAGAGGGACTCTATCATTTCAAAAGCAAAGTCTAATGTCTCTGGTGCGGCGTGTAAGGTCCTCAGGGGACCTGGCCCCTGACCACAGAGCTACTGCAAGCCTCATTCCTCACACACACCCCGAGATGTACATTCTGTCAATACTAAAGAGCTGCACCTTGCACTCTGATTCATGCTGGTCTCTGCTCAAGCTCTTTCTAAACCTGGGGTGGCAATCCAACATTGGGGTGGCAACCCAACATTGCTTTTTACCCTTGAAGTCTCAGCTCAAGTTTCCTCTCCTCCCAGAAGCCTTCTCCTGTCTCCCAGATAGCATTACTGGCCCTCCTGTGGCCGCCCTGCACCCTGTGCTCACCTCTATCTTATACCTGTAACGGAGCAAGACCCTATGGAACAGACCCCTCCCCTAGGTCCTCTGCTATAGCTCCTCTCTGACATACCTAGATATCAGTATACGATACACATTTCCTGTGTTGTTTTACAGATGCTAAAACCACCACCAAATGGAAGACGTTAACTACTTGATGACCATGAGCATGTAGCCTACTGGAGCCTAAGGACTGATCATGTTAACCCCTGTGGCACCATCCTGTTACCTCATCATCAACCAATCAGAGAACTGTGCAGGGCTGATCACATACCCTGCGACGCCCCTCCCTCACCTGGCCTTTAAAAATGCTTTGCTGGGCTTCCCTGGTGGTGCAGTGGTTGAGAGTCCACCTGCCGATGCAGGGGACATGGGTTCGTGCCCCGGTCCAGGAAGATCCCACATGCCGCGGAGCAGCTGGGCCCGTGAGCCATGGCTGCTGAGCCTGCGCATCCGGAGTCTGTGCTCCGCAATGGGAGAGGCCACAACAGTGAGAGGCCCGCAAAAAAAAAAAAAAAAAAATGCTTTGCTAAATAAAACCCATCAGGGAGTTCGGGCTTTTTGAGCACTAGCTGTCCCGGACTCCTTGATGATGCCTTAGAATAAATGCTGCACTTGCCTTCACCACAACCCAGTGTCAGCAGATGGGCAAGTGGACCCAAGTTTGGTTCAGTAACATACCTACTATATTTAAATGACCTGATTTTGCGAGCGTCTTCTACTAGGGCTGCCGTTCATCAGGAATAAGACCTCTTACTCACTTTTCTGCCCCTGGCACATAGAGGGGCATTAATTAATGCATTTTTGTTAAAGGAAATTAAATGAACTGCACTGTATTTTCTTTTTTTTTCTAACCCCATCTCTCAGTTTCTCAACAGTTAAAGGTTGATAAGAATACCTGTTCCTCTATAAGTCACAGTGCCAAAGACACCACATGGGGATGAGAAGGAAGTGGGGGCGGGGCTGGCTCTCTCTGCAACCATCCAGGTAAGTTACTAGGAGAGGAGGTTCCGCAACCACAAGGACAGGTTAACCGCCGTCTCCCACGTTCCAGAACTGTGAAGCTGCTTCCAGAACTCAGGTCCAGAAAAGACAGCTGCTCTGCTGGGTGTAGTCTTTGCAGTGGCTTTTCAGGACTCCCCAGAGGGAAGCCCTATGAAATCTGAAATCTCCTATGAGGAAAGATGCTTTGGGGAAAGTCCAAGGTATTATTAGTAACTACCAATATCATTATGCTGACAGGCAAACCACTAGGAAGAAATGGAAACTGATCTCATCCCTCACTATCAAGCCGACAAGCTTGGGTTTGGGTCCATTTTTGGTCAGAGTGCAAAAACACAACAGCCCCTTCTCTGAAAAACACGGATTCTACACAAGAACGACCTGCAACCCCTGAGCAGGTTCACGGTGACAGCATGCTGAACGAAGGGGTAAGTGACTCCCAGAAGAGGTTCTTGTTTATTCATTTCAGACATGTAGAAAACAGGAGCAAAACAAAGCGTTCCACTTCTTACTCTCAATTTCAATTAACAACAACAAAGAAAACAGCCTCAGTGGAGAATCAAGGCAGAAGCTGAAACAAGTAATCATCAACTCTTAGTTAACTATGCTAAACAGGGAGAGAAAGACATAAATTATTTAAAAGAACAACCAGGGACTTCCCTGGTGGCGCAGTGGTTGAGAATCCACCAGCCAATGCAGGGGACAGGGGTTCGAGCCCTGGTCCGGGAAGATCCCACATGCCGCAGAGCAACTAAGCCCGTGAGCCACAACTATTGAAGCCCGTGCACGTAGAGCCCGTGCTCTGCAATCTACAACAAAGAATAGTCCCTGCTCGCCACAACTAGAGAAAGCCTGCACGCAGCAACGAAGACCCAATGCAGCCTAAATAAATAAATTAATTTTTAAAAAAAAGATCAACCAAAAAAAAAAAAACATCCCCAAACTTAACTCTTACGTTAAGCAATGTTCCACCCTCTGTCCCCACTAAACCTCTCACTAGGGTTACTGTTGTTACGGCTTCCTCCCTAAGGCTGGATAAGCTTTGGGTCGAAAGCTCTTCCCCCGGCCTCTCCCTCCAGCTGGCTCAGAAACATCTCAGAGCCACAGTGGGGCTGGACAGCTCCCAAAGGATGCCTCATTCACCTCCGCATCCTCGGTTCCTAGAACAACATCTGGCTCCTTGTAGATATTCAACAAATGTTTGTGTAATTGACCTGAAATGATGCTTAACAGAAATATGTTCCATTTCCATCCAGCGTGGACCTGAACTCTTGACAGTCACGTTCTCACCAGACTGCATACATCCAGGGACCCCCTACTCACATTTGAGCTCCAGGGACTGTCATTTACAACAGAGAATAACGGAAGTACTCCCACCCCCGGGGACTGCGATTGCCACGCTACCCCACCCTTTCCAGTTTTATAAACCAGGAAAAAAATAAGCAATCTTGGAAGACTAAGTGTGCATGACCTATTTATTTGAACAATCAAATATTTACTAAGTGCCTGCTAGCCTGCATAAAATAGAAATCCTTGTCTACAAAGACCTTGTTAATGAGTTGAGGAAACCAGGCATATAATGAAAAGGTAACTAACAAAAGGAGGCAGCATGCGATGAATGCCAAATCAATGACACAGCCGCCAATAAACACTATGAGACTCAAAGGAGGGGGCCACGGCCATGGCTGGGGAGACCAGACTTAAGACGTGTCTGAAGTCCTAGACCAGCAATAGAAATCCAGGTGAGTCAGAAGCAGCCTTCACTCATGGGGTTTAAGGATCTGAACTAATTACAATATTTATTTCCGGCTTCTCTTCTGATGAAGCTGATAGCACACAGGTCAAAAGCAGAGCAGCAGGAGAAGCAAGAAAAAAACAAAACAACTCTGTGAGCAACATACAAATGCCAGGTGGCTACACTACACAGATTTTGGCCAAGCTCAGCCTGATATCTGGGACACACGCACCTGTCAATAGGAGGCCTGAACATATTCTCATATTTGCAAATGTTTTATTTGAACCATACCTACAGACACCTCCACGTGACCTGTGCAAAGAGAGGGATGCTAGAGGGTCCATATCCTTAAAGTCTACCCCCCCAAAACCATGGCTCAACATGTGCCGAGGGCACTGTGATTTTCTGGCAGCGGGTCTATTTTCCTGATCATGTTTTCCTGCAGCTAGCTAGCAATGACGCTGCGTTCCCCGAGCACATATGCACCGACAGATGGTGTAAGAGGACCAGAATCACATTAACTACTCCAGAGAAGCCAGCTTGGAATGCAAATGTAATCTGGAGGAGAGTTAAAACAGGGAAAATCAGGAACTGTCTCTGCAGTTTGACTGCCACACACAGAATGAAATGTATTCCTAGGGAGCCAAACTACGTCCCCTGCCGTACTTCTCAAGGAGCGGCCCGAACATCGCGTTGTGTACTTGTGTTATCTCACCACTAGAGGATGGAATCCTTGCGAGTGAAGGAAAACATCCTATGTCTCTTTAGATACACATCACCAGGCACCATCAGTGCTCGCGAAATGTGTGAGATGGGAATTAATAAATTAATGGATAAATAAATGACACGAATGTGGGAAGCATGTACCGTGACTGTCCTCATTTGAGCAAACGTCAATCTGAATGGGGACACAGTGTGTTGCGTACAAACAGGACTTCTTCTGACTCCTGGCTCTAAAGCAGCTGCTGACCAGAGCTGCACAGACCAGAGACCAGCCAGGTGGAGCGCAGAACACCGGGACTTTGCTTCTCTCTGCTTCTTGGAGGCCAGGTCACTCAGCACATGTCCAATTAACCACAGGGGAAACGAGCTAAGAGTTCTTTTTTCAAACCACCCACCTCTCTCTCTTGCTGCTGACCCTGTTTCTAAAAGGAGCCGAGGAAAGAAAGCTTTCTCCCTTGCGTTAAACAAGATGATTATAGGAGCTCTCTCCCGCTCCTTTAGCAATCTGTCTCGTGGGTTCAGCCCAAAAACAAGGAGAAATGAGAGATAGTCTGTCCCGACCGAATGTTAACAAAATTAACTTCTGTCCTAACTCAGACTAAAGTAATGAAAGAATTGGTTCTGATAAAATCAGACTCAAGAAAGCAGAGGTTACTAACTCTTGACATTTTTGCTTTTCAGAGGAATATACTGCAAAGAGCACAGAACGTAATTTAAAGACCTGAGTGCTCGTCTTGTCTGTTATTAACAAAGGGGAGGATCTTGGGTAAGTTACTTTACGTTTCTGAGCCTCAGTTTTCTCATCTAGAAGATGAAGCCATTAACCCCAAATGTCCTTTCCAGGTCTATTTGCAAGAACCCCAAAACCAAAGGTATCACAGTAAAAGTCACTTGGCTATCAAGTAATATGTATTCTGAAATTACTACTCATGTATCATTATTATTTATTATTATTATGACTCATTCTATGAGTAACTCTGTGTGTCACACACAAAGCAAAGAAAGACAAGTTGAAGAGCCTCTAGTTAATTTTTTAGTCATTATTAATTTATATTTATATAGAGCTGTGCTTTTTCAAATCAGTAAAATTATTTCATTTGTTCCTCTCTGAGATAGGAAGGGCAGATTATCATTCCCACTTAATAAACAAGAAAAATTTAAGTAATTTCCCAAGGCATAAATTGTGCTGTCAATAACCTAGTGCTACAGGGATAAATCCACTTATAATCACAGAGTTAAATTTCTGGGAGAACAGTGTGATGTTAAAAAGCTTCACCAGAGACACTTACTTCAGCTCGTTGGTTTCCATGCCTTGGGCGATGGCCATGATGATCCCGCCATGGTCTCCCCATGTGTAGTAGTGAGGTCCAGGAAGAGCCTGAAGAGAGAGAGCCAGTGCTGACGTCACTGCCATGGAGATGGCCGGGCATAAATGGTACACACCACACACACACGTGCACACACACTCAGGCACACACATGCACACACACAGCAGGGATATCAACCACCTGAATACAACTTTTCCATTTCCAGAGCACTTCACAGCCATTCTCTCATCTGATCCACACAGCCCTGGGGCTGGGCAGAGCAAGTTCTCACATTCCAATATTTTTTTGCCAAATGAAGAAACTGGAGTTCCTATTAAAGTGGCAGACTGTAAACTGCAGAGGCAGGAGTCAAACCCACATCTCTGACCCTCACCAAGCAGCTATTAAAAATTAACCAACTAGAGTTCTGGTTTTTGACTGTGACAGTATAAGCCCACTACAGCCCATCCTTCTTGTTAATTACAACTAAAAAATTTGGACAAAATATTCAATACAAAAAGACAGCTACCCGAGGATGCTGAAAAGTAAACAAAATAAGGCAGCTTATGAAGGGGATTTAAAACCTGGAGAAACTACCCAAACAATTGGGGCTTCCTGGTACACCTGTGCCCTGAGGGAATGCCCCAGCCTACAATACGTTAGTCCCAGCCAGGCAGCTAAACCTTCAATGGAAACTTGCTGCCTAAGGAGTCAGGAAAAGAAGCCCCTGCATGACGGAGAGAATGTAGCTGGAATCCCAGAGGGGAGAGCGTGAGGAAGTAAACCCTCTAATTCTGTGGATGGACTCACATATGTTTCAGCCTAACCCCTAAACTGTATGTGTGGGGAACAGACCCAAACTAGCACAGAAAAGACTTAGCCATCTGAACTGAGATCTCCAAAGAATGCAAGGCAGAAGTTACAGTCCGAATCTGAACAGGTTCATTACACGCTGAAATGAAAACAGCAACATCCTCCAGAGGATTTCATTTCATGTCCGGGATGCAATCCAAAATCACTCAACATACAAACAGATTGGTAAATAGTCTCCAAGTCTCCAGAGAAAAGACAATAAATGGGTGCTAGTTCCAAGATGATCCAAACGTTGAAATTACCAAAGACTTTAAAACAGTTCTTGTAACTGTGTTCCATGAGGTAAAGGAAATGAGCAAAAGAAAAGAATTCTTCCCAGAGAAGTGGAAACTATTTTTTTTAAAGGAATGAATTCTAGAACAGGAAAATAAAATATCTGAAATAGGAAATTCACTGATGGGCTCAATGACAGAATAGAAATGACAAAGGAATTAGTGAATTTAAAGATAAATACAGAACAGTAGAAATGATCTATGCTGGGACTTCCCTGGTGGTCCAGTAGTTAAGAATCCGCCTTCCAATGCAGGGGACACGGGTTCAATCCCTGGCTGGGGAACTAAGATCCCACATGCCACAACTAGAGAGCCTGTGTGCTGCAACTACAGAGCCCACGCGCTCTGGAGCCTGCACGCCACAACTAGAGAGAAGCTTGCGCACCACAATGAAGAGCCCTCACATCTCAACAAAAGATCTCACATGCCACAACTAAGACCCGACACAGCCAAAAATAAATAAATATATTTTTTTAAATGATCTAAAGAACACACAGAATAAAAGACTTAAAGGAAAAAAGCCCCAAGAAACTGTGGGACAATAACAAAAGGTCTATGTATAATTGGAGGCCAAGATGAACAAGAGAAAGGGACTGAAGCAGAAAAAATATTTGTAAAAAAAATGGCTGAAAATTTCCCAAATTTGGTGAAAAAGATAAATTTATAGATTCAAGAGATCGATGAATCACACGATCATCACAAAGAAAACCACACCTAGAGACATCAAAACAAAACTACTGAAAACCAAAGATAAGGAAAAAATATCGAAGCATCTTAAGGAAAATGACACAATACATACAAGAAAATGGTAACAAATGATTATAGATTTCCCATCGGCAGATAGCACATCTTTAAAGTATAGACACACCTTGGAGATACTGTGGTTCAGACCACCACAATAAAGCAAATACCAAAATGAAGTGAATCATATGAAGTTTTTGATTTCTCAGTGCTTATGAAAGTTATGTTTGCACCATCCTGTAGTCTATTAAGTGTGCAACAGCATTATGCCTACATAAAACAATGTACACACCTTAATTAAAAGTGCTTTACTGCTATTCAAAAAAAAGCTAAGCATCATCTGAGCCTGCAGCAAGTCACAGTAGTTAACATCAAAGATCACTGAACATATATCACCATAACAAATATAATAACAATAATGAAAAAGTTTGAAATATTGCAAGAATCACTAAAATGTGACACAGACACAAAGCAGGCAAATGCTGCTGGAAAAATGGCACCGATGGACATGCTCGATGGAGGGTTGCCACAAACCTTCAATTTGTAAAAAATACAATATCTACAAAGCACAATAAAATGAGGTATGCCTCTACGGAAAGAAAATTACTATCAATCCAGCACACAACATCAAACAAACACATCCCCCAGGAATGAAAGTGAATTACCAAGATTCTCAAATGAAGGAAAATCAAGAAAAGGAAACCAAGAGAACACATAGCTAGTAGATCTGCTCCACAACAAGTGCTAAAGGCATGTCGTCAGGCTGCTGTGAAATTTACAGAGGGAAACAGGGATCTTCAGGAAGGAAGGAAGAGGAAGGGAAATGGTAGATATCTGGGTGAATATAAAAGACTGCTTTTCCTCTTAAGTTCTTTAAAATCCATACGATGATTAAAGCAAAAACAAAGACATTGCTGAGTTTTTCAATATGTGTCAATGTGATAAAAAATGAAAACAAAGAAGTTGGGAGGAGAGAAAAGGGATTTATTTGGTTGCAAGGTTTCTAAATTTGATGTTAAGTGTAATATTATGTTAAATGCAGTATTAATTCAAAAAAGACTATGAAAGATTAAATATATATGCTGTAATCCTTAGAGCAACCACTAAAAAAGTAATACTACAAAGAAATATAATCAAAAAGATAATATTTAAATAAAAATAGAATACTAAAAATACCTAAATAATACAAAAGGAGGCCATAAAGGAGGAACAGAATAATTTTTAAAAATGAAATTTAAATAAACAAATACATAAAATATTAAACCTAAATCCAACCATATCAATAATTATATTAAATGTTAATGGCCGAAGCATTTAGTTAAAAAGCAGAGCTTATCAGAATAAATTAAAAAGACCCTCACTATATGCTGCCTATAAGAAACACTTCAATGTAAAGACACAGATGGGTAGAAAGTAAACGGATAGTAAAAGATATATTATCCAAATAGTAAACATAAGATGGTTAAAGTGACTTTCAGTATCAGATAAAAAAGACTTCAAGACAAAGGGTATTACCATAGATAAAGAGGAATATTCCATAATGATAAAAGGGACAATAAATCAGAAAAAATAATTATAAATGTGTAGGTACATAATAACAGAGCGTAAAAATACATGAAGCAATATTGATAGGATTTAAAGGAAAAAAAGACAATTCCACAATCATAGCTGGAGATTTTACCTCCAACAATTTACAGAACTGCAATATATAGCAATTTATGGAACTAGCCCCCGCCCAAACTGCAATATATAGCAATTTACAGAACTAGCCCCGAAGTATGTAGAAGGTCTGAACAAGTATCAACCGCCTTCATATAAATAACATCTGTTGAACACTGCATCCAACAGCTGCAGAATATACATTCCTTGCTAACGCACATGACATATCCACCAAGACAAACCACATGTTGGATCACAAAACAAGTCCCATTAAGTTTAAAGGACTTGAAATCATATGAAGTGTATTATCTGACTACAAGGAAATTAAGATATCTATGAAAACATCAAGTATCTGAAAACTAAACAACCCTTTTCTAAATAACTTATCAGACAAAGACAAAAAGCAAAAGGGACATTATGAAGTGATAAAAATGTTCTGGAATTAGACAGTGGTGATGGCTGCACATCACATCACTTGTGAGTATACCTAAAACTACTGAACCATACACTTTAAAGGGGTACATTTTATTGCATGTGAATTACATCTCAACTTTAAAGGGAGACATTAAAAAATATTCTGAGGGCTTCCCTGGTGGCGCAGTGGTTGAGAGTCTGCCTGCCGATGCAGGGGACATGGGTCCGTGCCCTGGTCCGGGAAGATCCCACATGCCGCAGAGCGGCTGGGCCCGTGAGCCATGGCCGCTGAGCCTGCGCATCCGGAGCCTGTGCTCCACAACGGGAGAGGCCACAACAGTGAGAAGCCCGCGTACCGCAAAAAAAAAAAAAAAAAAAAATTCTGAACTGAATGACAACAAAAACAACACATCTAAATTTGTGGCATACAGCTAAAGTAGTATTTACAGGGAAAATTAGGGCTGCAAATGCCTACATAAGAAAAGACCTAAAAATCAATAACCTGAAGTTATACCTTAACAAGCTACGAATAGAAAAGCAAAGTAAATCCAAAGTATACAAGGATAAGGGAAAGGTAATACTACAGAGGAGAAATCAACAAAATAGAAAACAGACAACAGAGAAAATTTAAGCCAAAAGCAGGTTCTTTGAAAAGATCAATAATATTGACAAACCACTAACTAAACTAATCAAGAAAAATAGAGGAAAAAAATACAAACCACCAATAACAGGAATGAAAACAGGTTATTACCACAAATCCTACAGACATTTTAAAACATTAGAAAATACCTTGAGTAATTTCAAGCCAACAAATTCAATAAATTTAGATGAAAGGACAAATGTCTGAAAATACACAACTCACCAAAATGGACATAAGTAGCAGAAAATCTGAATAGTTCTCTATCTGCCTGAGAAACAATTTCTAAACAAAAACATTCCCAAGAAGAAAACTTCAGGTCCAGATAGCTTCACTGGTATATGGTTCAAGAAAAAAAAACCACCACTCTTACACAAACTTTATCAGAACATAAAAGAGGAAGAATTGCTGCTCAGTTTGTTTTATCCTAACACCAAAACCTGACAAAGACATTACCAAAAAAAAAAGATTACCA